CAAGACTTCGAAGCTGGTCTCAAAACGCAACGGCTACATGTCGTCGTGTGGCCAAAAGGGAAACAGGGGGACAAAGAAAGCCAGCCGCTACACCGTGTTTGTCAGCTTAATCGCACCAAAATCTTCCAAATTAAGTTCTTACCTAAGCCAGCATCTAACAATCATACCATACAGAGGGTCTGTTTGAGGGGGGGAATTAACTTCATTTGATTTGTTTAGTCCAGGGGGAGGCAACCTTGACTCTTTTATGGACTTCACCTCCCAGAATTCCTGAGCCAGCATGGCTCAGTATGGAAACCTCTCCATTTCTCCTCAGCCTGGCTGGCTCAGGAATTCTGGGAGTTGGTTGAAGTCCACGAGTCATAAAAGAGCCAAGGTTGCCTACCCCTGGTTTAGTAATACGGCTAATTTTGAAGTGGTTTTTGAAAAGCATGAAGAAGAGTTACACCAGGGGTAGGGAAACTCTGTGCTGTCACCTCCACGTGAATTTCCAATCAGTTCAAGAGAGCGATGGGAACCTTTTTGATTCTGGAAAACATCTAAGTTCCGAAGTCCCAACAGCGAAATTGCCCGCTGCTATCAAGTGCACCGGGGCTCACCTTTATTATTTCAGGTTTTGCGGAAGATCAAAAAGTCAGTCTGAGCTTTAATGGCATCCTTGAGAGAAGAACGTCCGTTTATCATAAACAAAAGCGATCGCAAAAGAGAGCATTAAAAAAAAAAATTAAAAACCCAGAAACAGAAGCCACCCGATAATGTGGCATAATGTGCAGAACCAACACTTGTGGCTGATACAAACAAACCAGAGGGTGGACATGATAGCGGTCTTCCAATATCTCAGGGGCTGCCCCAAAGAAGAGGGAGTCAATCTATTCTCCAAAGCACCCTCTGAAGGCAGGATAAGAAGCAACGGATGGAAACTAACCAAGGAGAGAAGCAACCTGGAATTAAAGAGAAATTTCCTGACAGTGAGAACAATTAACCAGTGGAACAATCTGCCTCGAGAAGCGGTGAACGCTCAAACACTGGAAGTTTTTAAAAAGAAACTGGACAGCCATTTGTCTGAAATGGTATAGCAGGGGGCTGGACTAGATGATCTCCAAGGTCCCTTCCAACATTGTTGTTGTTGTTGTTATTTATTCCCTGGTTCTGAAAGGATACAAGGATACAATCAGATGACAAAGGCATCCATCCCAGTTGCCATGACTTAGACCAGGGGTCTTCAAACTTGGCCCTTTTATGCCTTGTGGACTTCAACTCCCAGAATCCCTCAGCCAGCGTGCCCGGGTTCAAGGGAAGATGATCTTCGCCTTGCTAGCCTCTGATTTCCTCCAGGGCCCAACCCAAAGATCATAAACAAAAACGAGAGTGCCAGGAGCAATTAGAGGACCGACGTCAATGCATATATTAAGTCTTATTGATGTGCCTGGCTGAGGAATTCTGGGAGCTGAAGTCCACACGTCATAAAAGGGCCATTTTGAAGACTTAGACCAGTGGTTCTCAACCTGTGGGTCGGGACCCCATTTGGGGTCAAACGACCATTTCACGGGGGTCGCCAAACAACGCAGTCCGCCATTTTTTTTCCCCTTTTCCTTAGCTGTGCTACTCCCTTTTATTCTATTGGCTTTTGAAAGCCAATAGAATAGACTCTCTTGAATAGAGTCTAATTCTATTGGCTTTCCAAAGCCAATAGGAATGGTCCAGGCTGCCCTGCTGAGCCCGCCAAAAGTCCCCTTCTGCAAACGGGGCTGCACCAGTGGAGTCGTCCTCGACTTACGACCGGTTGAGTAGTCCTCGACATACGACCAGTTGGGGATTGCGGCATTAAAAAGGTTGAGAACCACTGACTTAGACAAACGGTGCTCTTGGAGAAGGGAAGGAAGAAGGTGTCCCACCCCATTTTTCCATCTGCCACCCACAGAACAAAATTGAGTGTCTTCAACCCAAACATGATGAATTAGCTTGAGGCGACAGATCCAGCCTGGATGAACTCTTTAGTTCTGTCCAGACAGGCATCTTTATCTAACAGCACAGTCCTCTCTAGAGCCCTCTGCTTGGGCAGTGATTATTCCTCATCCCTCCTAAATAATCACCCATCATGCGGAATAATATAATCTTATCAAACCCCTTCGGGGCTCTGCCAAAGTAAAAAGAAAAAAAAAAAAAACAATAACCAGAATCACAAAAGGAAGGGAAGTGACTCAGGACGACAGACAATGCCCTGGAAAAATGAGATCAGATGTGAAGTCAGGGCAGATCCTACAGAAATTCAAAAAGCCACCTTCAGTTTCATTTCTGCTTCTTTTCTGAGGGACTCAGCTCCTGAATAGCTTCCTTAACGAAGCTGTCAAACGGCAGTCCCTTCCGCCAAAGACAGAACAAGATCTTCACCCTCCAGTTGTCTTAGCTCAAGGTTGGGTTGAGCCTCAGCTCCATAGTTCTCTGCCTGCCAGGGTGATGCTAGCTTGCAGTTATGGGAGCAGGAAGTCCTAGCTGTGGAAGTTCCTTCTGGGTTAAAGGGAAGATGATCTTCACCTTGCTGGAGTCTGATTTCCTCCAGGGTCCAACCCAAAGACGATAAACAAAAACCAGAGTGTCGGGAACAATTAGACGGCAAATGTCACTGCATATATTAAGTCTTATTGATGTTGACGTTGAAAATAGCCACACGCTGGAGGTCTGGTGCGTCCCAAACTAAGAGGCCAACGCCAACGTTTCCACTTGGTCAGCCTGTTTAGTCCAATCTCTGCCATCAAAGAGGCAACTGGACTTTCTTTGGGTTTTTTTTCCTTGAAGAGGTTTCGCTTCTCATCCAAGAAGCTTCTTCAGTTCGGACTAAGCTTCATCAGAACTGAAGAAGCTTCTTGGATGAGAAGCGAAACGTCTTCAAAAAAAAGAAAAACGAAGAAAGTCCAGTTGCCTTTTGAAAAAGCACCTTTGACATCCTTCAAGATGTTGGGTAGCTCCTGAAGTACCAGCCCCAAGGATGACCAATTCTTCATCCGCCTTGCTCCCTCTTGAGCATTTACAACAGCAATAGCACTTAGACTTATATTTTTTTGATCGCATGACCTTGGGAATTCTACGAATCAGACTAGAGCTGGTGGGGACCTTGGAGGTCTTCTAGTCCAACCCCCTGCTCAAGTAGAAGACCCTACACCCTTGCAATCATCAATCAATCACAATAGAGCTGGAAGGGACCCTGGAGGTCTTCTAGTACAACCCTCCACTCAAGCACAGGAGAACCTATACCATCTCAGACAATTGACTGTCCAGTCTCTTCTTAAAAACCTCCAGGGATGGAGCGCTCACGTCTGGTGGCAAGCTGTTCCACTGGTTAATTGTCCTCATTGTTAGGAAGTTTCTCCTTAATTCCAGGTTGCTTCTCTCCTTAATTAGTTTCCATCCATTAGTTTCTAGACTTGCCTTCTGGTGCTTTGGAAAATAAGTTGACCACACCTCTTCTTTATGGCAACCCCTCAAATACTAGATTATTGCTATCATGTCTCCCCTATTTCTTCTTTTCTCTAGACTGCCCATTCCCAAATCCTGCAGCCGTTCCTCATATGTTTTTGTCTCCAGGCCTTTCATCATCTTACTTGCTCCTCTTTGCACTTTTTCCAAAGCCTCAACATCTTTTTTTGTAATCTGGTGACCAAAACTGGATCCAGTATTCCAGGTGTGGCCTTACTAAGGCTTTACAAAGCTGTAATAATATTTCACGTGATTTAAATTCTACGCCTCTGTTTATACAACCAATATACCACTTCACAGTGCTTTAAAGCCCTCTCTAAGCATTTTAAAGAGTCATCCTATTGCCCCCCCCCCCACAATCTGGATCCTCGGAAGGATGGAAAGTTGAGTCAACCTTGAGCTGGTCAGGATCGAACTGCCGGCTGTGGGCAGAGTTAGCTTGCAATTCTGCATTCTAAGTCCTGAGAATGAATGAAGGAAGGAAGGAAGGAAGGAAGGAAGGAAGGAAGGAAGGAAGGAAGGAAGGAAGGAAGGAAGGAAGGAAGGAAGGAAGGAAGGATAGTAGCAATAGATTTAAATACCGCTTCTCTAAGCAGTTTACAGAGTCAGCCTGTTGCCCCCCAACAATCTGGATCCTCATTTTACCGACCTCAGAAGGATGGAAGGCTGAGTCAACCTTGAGCAGGTGAAGTTGGTTCAAGATGTTTCTGAAGATACAGGGAACAAGTCTGTCCTACTAGCTTATATTGGATTACAAATCCAGGTGTCTCTTAGCTACGGAAGCTCTTTAGCATCCACACCATTGTGCCCGGAGGTTCTCCAGGGGAGGAAAGGAAAATAACTCCATGCAAATGGAGATGCCACCCAGCCGGAATGGAATTTCCTCTTGACCACCGCTGCCTTTTCACACACAAACGCTTTGCATATCTCCAACCTGGCGCCCTTCGGTGGTTTGTTGGGCTCCAGCATGAACGGTGAGATTTCGTGGCAGACGCATCCGGGGAACGCAAAGATCCCCTTTACAGATGCCCAAGTGAAAAAAAATAAAAAAATAAAAGTTCCTGATCATGGAAAACCTTGTTTGTTTGTTTTTTTGAATCCACCTGCGGAAAAACGTCCTTCCTGCAAGGTTGGCTTAAGCTGGCTTCTTTCCCAGCCCCGCAGGCAGAAATCCAGCAGATCAAAAGAAGCTCTGGCTAGCTTCAATCTCCAGCGATTCCTTTTCCTTGCCGCCCACCCACCCAGTCTCTTGTTCACCCCACCCTCCCCAATAGGAACGGCTTCAGGAGCAAAGCAGCTGCCTCGCCGTTCCCATGAGCCACAGTCGGCTGCGGAAGATGGGGGCCGCTAGCCGAGGCCCGCCAGAGCCTGGAAAAATTCCGGGGGGGGCTCCTTTGACCCGACGGGCAGCCGGACCGCTTTGACCCCCCCCCGGGTTCATCCAGGCTGGCTACCCCTCTCCAAAAGCCGCCTCCAGCGCTGCGCTTTCGGCTGGGCGCGCCGGCTTCGCGCTCGCCTCCGCTCACCTGCTCCGCTGGGCACCGGCGCTTCCTCCTCCTCTTCTTCCTCCTTCTCCTCCTCTGCCGACGGGGGCGGCCCGTCAGTTGGGGGGCCGGGGGTGCCCCCCTGCGGGGCAGGCCAGGCCGAGGCCGGGGGTGGCGGCGAGGAAGGGGCCGGAGACGGCCAGGTGAAGGTCGGGGCAGGGCCGGCGCGCGCGCTCTCGGCGCCCTGCGGAGGAGCCGGCCGAGGGCCGTTGGGGGTCCAGGCGGCCGAGGGCTCGTTCTCGCCGCTGCCTTCCCCTCGCCGGGGCCAGGCGGGCGCGGGGGAGGCGCGGGGAGGCTGCCCGGAGCCGCCGGGGGCGTCGCGGGGCTGCAGGGCGCACGCCGAGCCCAGCCACAGCAGCAGCAGCAGCAGCACCGCGGGCAGCATCGTACCGCGGACGCCGCCCCCCGTCCATCCAGCCGGGGAGGGGTCCCGCGGATCTGGCCCTGGGGAGGTGGGGGGGTGAGTGGGAGGGGAGGGGGGTGTCTGCTGCCGCTGCTACCGCTGCAGCTGCGAGGAGGCTCCCTCCGGCTGGCTCAGGCGCGGGCAGGAGCGAGCAGGCAGCCGGCTTGCGCGCAAGAGGAGAGCCGGGACCACCATCGCATCTTCTCCTTCCCCAAATCGGGGGGCAGAAGCGCGCCCCCTTCTTCTTCCTCCTCCTCCTCTTTCCTTTCCTCCTCCTTCTCCTCTTCCTCTTCTTCTTCTCCTCCTTCTCCTCTTCCTCCTCTTCTCCTCCTCCTCCCCTTTTCCCTTCTCTTCCTCTTCTCCTCCTCCTCCCCTTTCCCCTTCTCCTCCTCTTCTTCTCCTCCCCTTTCCCTTCTCCTCCTCCTCCCCCCCTTTCCCCTTCTCCTCCCCTTTCCCCTTCTCCTCCTCCTCCTCTTCTTCTTCTCCTCCTCCTCCCCTTTCCCCTTCTCCTCCTCCTCCTCTTCCTCCTCCTCCTCCTCCTCCTCTCTCAACTGCCCGCCCGCCCCCCTCCCCAATCTGCTAACAATGAGGGCGAGCGGACGCCCCCACCCCCACTCCTCCGCCCAGCCAGGCAGCGAAGCAGGGAAGCGAGAGAAAGGAGGAGGCTGGAAAAAGAAAGAGTGCGAGAGAGGGGGGGGGGAGAGAGAGAAAACGGAGGGCGACGGGCTGGGGACCCAGCCAATGGGAAGGCGGCGGGGCCACGTGAGCGGCCCGGCCCGGGCTCCTCGGGACGGGGGGGGGGCAGCCCGGTCGGCCAATGGGCAATGGGCTGGGAGGCCGAAGACCCGCCTCTCCCGGATCCCCGACAGCTGGAAGAGAAAGGGGTGGCCGCCGGGCCGCCCGCCCCGTGCGTTTCCCGAGCGACCAGGGGATGCTCGGGCCGGGGACGGCGACCGCGGCGGCGGCAGCAAACAAAGGAAGATCGGGCTCAAGGCTCGCTCTCCTAGCCCCAGCCCCCAGCCTCGCTTCGATTGGAATCCGGATTGAGAGAAGCGGAGTCGCTCAAAGCGGCAACCTGCGCCTCTGGCTGGGAGTTGGGTTTTTCCTTCCAGCGGCAGATCCTGCAAGGCTCCCTTCCTAGCTCCTCCTTTGGGCCCTCTGCCCATGCTCAGAGGAAGCCGTGAGGATTCCCCACCTGGCGGCAGCCCATGGTCTCTCTCTCCTTCCCTTGTTCTCTTTCTTCTTCTTCTTCTCTCTCTCTCTTTCTCTGCAGGATAGATTCCACAAAGGTGAATTATTTTTCTCTCCCTCCGTCTCTCTCTGTTTTTTCTTGTTCTCTCTCTCTCTCTCTCTCTCTCTCTTGTTCTTTCTTGTCCCCCCCTTCTTGTTCTCTCTCTTGTTCTCTTTCTTGTTCTCTTCTTCTTGTTCTTTCTCTCGTTCTCTCCTTGTTGTTCTCTCTCTTGTTCTCTCTTCTTCTTGTTCTCTTTCTCTCTCTTCTTTCTCTCTCTCTCTTTTTTATTCTCTCTCTCTGCAGGGTAGGTTCCCCAAAGGTGAATTATTTCTCTCTCTCTCTCTCTCTCTCGTTCTTTCTCTTTCTTGTTCCCCCCTTTCTTGTTCTCTTCTATTTCTTTCTTCTTGTTCTTTCTCATTCTCTCGTTCTTTCTCTCTTGTTCTCTCTTCTTCTTGTTCTTTTTCTCTCTCTTCTTTCTCTCTCTTTCCCTTTCTCTCTCTCTTTCTTATTCTCTCTCTCTGCAGGTTAGGTTCCCCAAAGGTGAATTATTTTTCTCTCCCTCTGTTTCTCTCTTTTTTTCTTGTTCTCTCTCTTGTTCTTTCTCTCTTTCTTGTTTCCTCCCTCTTTCTTGTTGTTTTGTCTTTCTTGTTCTCTTCTTCTTGTTCTTTCTCTCTTGTTCTCTCCTTATTGTTCTTTCTCTTGTTCTCTCTTTTTGTTCTCTCTCTCTCTCTCTTTCTCTCTCTCTCTCTTCAGGGTAGATTCCCCAAAGGTGTTTGTGGTGGACCCCAAGAAAGCTTGTCAAGAGATGGCTAGCTCCACATGCTGGATCCCCCCACCCCCACCCCACGTGTCCAATCGCACTCCACCCTCTTGCCTTGGGAAGCCAGATCTTGAGGCCGGTGGCCTCTGGTGAGAAACTCAGAACACTTAGGTCCTCCATCCCCTTTGCTGGAATGTCCATGAAACATCCACGGGACAACTGGACACAATATGGACTCTTCCTGTCCAACCTACATGGGGCCAGAGACTGGGGGCCTCTTCAGAGAACGTCCTAATGAATGGAAGCTTGTTAAGAAATTCACCGACTGAACCCGGCAGATGGAACTCATTTGTCCTCTTCTGGGTCCTCCCTTCACCCCTCTGAAATATTAGCAAGGGCAAAAGAGGGCTTTCCAACCAGGTCCCCTTCTTTAAGATGAATCTCAGCCCACTTTTATTCTCAAAAGAATGAAAGGCAGAAGCTTTGTCGGAGAGCCTTGGTTGCACGGAGGTGCCCCAATTTCGTCTTTCGGTTCCCATTTCCTTTCGTGGCAAGGCGGTTGACGCACCAAGCTGGTCATCAAACCCAGGAGAGAGAGAAACACCCACGGCTTTCTTCTCCTTGGTCACCAGCCGAGCAAACCTCCCCGGGCAAGGCGGTGGCTGCAATTCCCAGGTGTGCCCAACTGTCTAAAGAGAGAGAGAAAGAGAGAGAGAGCTGGCTTGGATGCCCAGCTGGGTGGTGCCTGGCACCGGGTGATCTCACCTTGCCTGCCAACGTTGGAAGGACAAAGGTCACAACGCCGTGTGCTTCCGGCAGATAATGGGAGAGCCGGCTTCAGAATCTTGCTGGCAGGGCAAAAAGGAAGTACCCATGATGGGTAAACAAATCTGCCAAGCCAGCTCCTCTTTTAGGTTCCACCCGTAGGAGGGAACACCCAGCACTCTGTCAGAAGCCAGTTTTGATAATGTTGGATTGCAGCAGGGAGGAACAGTCATCTGGGCGTGGCATAAGGCGGCCTGTTTTAAATCAGACCGTCTCCTCTAATCCAAGGGTCCCCAACCCCTGGGCTGTGGCCCACTAAAGGGACGCAATGTGTAAGGGGGCTTGTTTTATATCAGACCGTCTCCTCTAATCCAAGGGTCCCCAACCCCTGGGCTGTGGCCCACTAAAGGGACGCATGGTGTAAGGGGGCTTGTTTTATATCAGACCGTCTCCTCTAATCCAAGGGTCCCCAACCCCTGGGCTGTGGCCCACTAAAGAGGCCCATGGCGTAAGGGGGCCTGTTTTAAATCAGACCATCTCCTCTAATCCATTTGGAGGCTCTCGCTTGTGGAAAGCTTCCCTGTCCCATCTGGGAATGATGTTTTCTCAAGGCAGGAGAGAAATAACATCCTGGCTAGCTGGGTTTGGAAGGCCACAATCATATTTCCAACCCTGCTTGTCGTGGGAGGGGGGGGGATCAAAAGAGAGACACCACACCCGCCCACCCATTTACAGTTTGGCAGGGCCCCTTAATGGTCGGTCTTAGAAACAATTGAGCTTCAAATGAGAAAGACTTTGACTGCGGAGTGTTGCCTGCCTCCCCCCTTCCTTCCGATTAATGTGGTTGTTGACCACATTATACAAAGCTCCACAATCGGGTCCTCTGTTCCCTAGCAGGATTTCGCGTCCTTTCTGCACGGGAGGAAGTTATTCCCAACAAGACGTCTATGGAGATTCTCCGTCATCCGTGTCGAGGGGGTCCCCAAAGTGCTTATTTTCCAAAAGGCAACTAGACTTTCTCGATTTTGTTTCTTTGAAAACGTTTTGCTTCTCAGTTCCGCAGAACGGAAAAAGCTTCTTGGAGGGAGAGCGAAATGTTTTCAGCAAAAAAAAAACAACAAGAAAGTCCCGTCACTTTTTGGAAACTTTTTGGGTCCCCCAACAAGACCATGTTTTTTCTGTCAGATGCCCCTAACTTGGTGCCCTCCAAATTATTATTATTATTATTATTATTATTATTATTATTATTATTATTATTATTATTATTATTACCGTGGCAGTGCCTGGAGACAGCAGAATAGACGAGAAAGAACTGGAGAAGATCACAAAATACAAAGACCTACAAATAGAAATAGAAAGACTGTGGCAAAAGCAAGCAAGGGTAGTACCAATAGTCATAGGTGCCTTGGGTGCAATCCCAAAACAACTGGAGCACCACTTGAACACCATCATCGGCACTGACAAATTCGCCATTAGTCAATTGCAAAAGGCGGCCTTACTAGGAAATGCTTCCATCCTGCGATGATATCTGTAATACCATCAAACATCCACATCTGCCTATCCCAGGTCCTGGGTAAGGACTCGATAGGTAGACAAAATGCCAAATCCTGTCTGAACATCCGGCTGACTGTGCGATGATCCATAATAATAATAATAATAAAGTTGGAAGGGACCTTGGAGGTCATCGAGTCCAACCCCCTGCTCAGGCAGGAAACCCTACACCATTTCGGACAAATGGCTGTTCAGTCTCTTCTTAAAAACTTCCAGCGCTGGAGCATTCACATCTTCTGGAGGCAGGCTGTTCCACTGGTTAATTGTTCTAACTGTCAGGAAGTTTCTCCTTAGTTCTAGGTTGCTTCTCTCCTTGGTTAGTTTCCATCTGTTGCTTCTTGTCCTGCCTTCAGGGGCTTTGGAGAATAGCTTGACTCCCTCTTCTTTGGGGCAGCCCCTGAGATACTGGAACACTGCTATCCTGTCCCCCCTCGTCCTTCACTTCATTAAACTAGACAGACCCAATTCCAGCAACCGTTCCTTATATGTTTTAACCTCCAGTCCCCTAATCATCTTTGTTGCTCTTCTCTGCACTCTTTCTAGAGTCTCAACATCGTTTTTACATCATGGCGACCAAAACTGGATGCAGTATTCCAAGTGTGGCCTTACCAAGGCCTTGTAAAGTGGTATTAATACTTCACACGATTTTGATTCTACGTTGGAGAGCCCAGAGGGAAATTTCTGGCAAATGAAATTTGGCTTCCAAATCAGAGAAAATAGCCCTGTGCAAAGAACCGTCTTAAAGCTTATCCTTAAAGAGGAAAAAAATGTTTATTTATTTACTTATTTGACATTGCCACCTTGCTTTCTTGCAGCTTTGCAGAACTGCCTGGCCTAAATTTAGAACATGGCAGGAATCAGCTGCCCTCCTTAGGAGAAGAGAAACTCAATTTTGTTGAGAGAGGAGCCAGGAGGAAGCAGGTCTTTTTTGCCTTCCCCGTCGTTGACAAGCCTAACTATTCCTTTTGTAGGCCGGCAAAACGCTTCTCTTTCGCTATATGCCGGAGAGCTATAATTAAGGTTGCATGCAAACTAAACATTAGCCAAACAGCAGGGTATTTTAGAAGTAGGTTTTGCCTTGGATAATTCAATTTCTCTCTCTCTCTCTCTCTTTCTCTCTCTCTCCTTCTCAGTTTCCACTCAACCTTCAAATTTCTGGTTATGTGCAGCCCAGATTGGCCAGTGGCAAATGCTTCAAAACTGGGGTGTTCCCCCCCCCCAGCTGAGGTTTTTTTTTGGGGGGGGGGGGGTTAGACATCGGCTGGTCGTAAAAACCAGACACTGAAGTCTTGTGATGGGGATTGGATCCGGCTTCCTTAAAGTTCCTGGGAGAAGCAAAACTGGGGAATTAATCGTGCCAGCATTTCACTGCCAATGTGAGGTTGTTCTGCTCAGGCGTTGGAGAACCGCTCCCATCAGCCCCGGCCAGCTTGAGCAGGGTTCACCAGGGATGGGAGTTGTAGTCTCAAGGTACTTTTGGATCCCACGCTGAACCGAAGAACAGATTTTGGGGCGCGTGGCTTCGACTCTTCTGTTGCAAAGCAGGAATGAAAATAAGGCGGCTTCTTGCCGTTTTGAGTTAAGGATGGAGGTGAGGAATATTGGCGCTCAAAGAGAAGAGAAATGTTCTCACAATTTTGGGTGGAGATTTCCCCCCCCCCGGGCGATGGCAATAGTCGTCCTCCTCCTCCTCCTCCTCTTTCTCCTCTTCCTCATTTCTTCTCTTCTCCTCCTCCTATTTCTCATCTTCCTCTTCCTCCTCTCTTTCTCATCCATCTCCTCCTTCTCCCTCTTCCTTTCTTCTCTTTCTTCTCTTCACTCTTTCTTCTCCCTCTTATCTCTTCCTTCTCCTCCGCTACCTTTTTCTCCTACTTCTCCAACGGTTCCTTCCTCTTCTACCTTCTTTTTCCTCCCCTTCTCCCTCTCCTCCTTCTCAATCAGAATAGAAGGAAGCTTGGAGGTCTTCTAGTCCACCCCCAATGCACAAGCAGGAGACCCTATCCCCTTTCAGAAGACCCTATCCCCTTTCTCCCTCTCTTCTTTTTCTCCTCCTTCCCCTTTTCCGTTTTTCTCTTCTCCTTCTCCTCTCTCTCTCTGCTTCTTCTCCTTCCCCTTTTTCTTTCTCCTCTTCCTATCCTCCTTTTTTCTGCTCCTCCTTTTCCTTCTCCTCCTCCTTCTCATCTTCCTTCCCCTTCTCTCCCCAGCTGGTAGCCAAAGCAGAACTGCCACAGAATGGCCAGTTTTTATGTGGCATTTCCCACCCTCACATAAATCTACTTTTCTTCTGAGTTATCATGAGAACAGAGGAAAAACAGCTGTTTTAAAGAAATGAGGATGGGTTTTTCAAGGGGGTGTGTGTGAAAATTCTGCCTGTGGTGCTTTTGCAGAAGTTTATTTGCAGGGAGAGCAAGACAGATAAACCCAAATCAAGTCGGTTTCCAAAAACTCTTAACTTGATCGATTCTCGGAGCTGACGTCAGATGCCAGAAGTTAGATTACGGGATCCGGTATCTCGGGAAGGATGTCCGAAATTACGTCTATTCACAGATTTAAAGCCCACTGAGATGGATTAAAGGGGCCTTGCTCCCGATTCAGCAGATTTCCGCTTTTTTCCCCCCATAGAGGAAAAAATAAAATAATGGACAGTCTTGGAGGAACTACAAACATAAATGCGTAATGTATGGCTGGGTTTTTATTGCCCCCTGGTGAGAGCTACTGGCCTCACATTAAAAAAAATAAAATAAAGAAGTGGGGAGGAAAAACACTGCCAGAAATGAACCTCTTCCTTGCAAGCAATTTGGCTGGTTCGCTTCTTCTCTTCCTTGGCGCTTCCGTTCCGCTAAATCAGAAACTCCTCTCTTTCTATAAATACACATTGGTCAGATCCCTTCTTGATCTTTTTCAGGATTCCTATAAAGCCGCTGATTCACTGTTTGGCAACAGCAATCCTTCGGGTCCCATTCAGCCCTGTCCTTGGCCCGGCTTCCATTTCGGTCTCCGCCAGTGAAGAGAGACGGATTCTGCTTCAAAGGGGTCAAAGAAAGGGGTGGTCTTCTCAAAGACCACCACCAAGGTGCTGAATTTTTCTTATTCTTTCTCTCTTGTTCCGAATCTTTACCGCACAAGGATCTTTCTCATCCTGCCTTCTTATTAAAGATCGTCCTCCATTTGCAAGCATTCGTTTAGGGACCGTTCCAAGTTACAACAACACTGACAGCTTTATTGTTACAGGGAAAAAAACAAAGAATGGCTGCGGGACTTGGGTTTGGCTAGTCTAAAGAAAAGAAGAAACAGGGGCGACATGATAGCAGCTTTCCAGTATTTGAGGGGCTGCCACAAGGAAAAGAGGGTCTAATTATTCTCCAAAGCACCAGAGGGCAGGACAAGAAACAATGGTTGGAAACTGATCAAAGAGAGAAGCAACCTGGAATTAAGGAGAAATTTCCTGACAGTGAGGACAATCAACCAGTGGAACAGAAGTTGCCACCAGAAATCGTGGGCGCTCCATCACTGGAGATTTTTAAAAGAGGCTAGACAGTCACTTGTCTGAGGTGGTATAGGTTCTCCTGCTTGAGCGGGGGGGGGGGGGGGGGGGGGGGCTGGACTACTCCAAGGTCCCTTCCAGCTGTATTCTATTCAAATGGGGGAAGGTCACAGAGCAATGCACAAAGCCTGGGAATTTGCAACCGCCCAGATTGATATCTGCGGAACCAATGCTGCAGCATACTCTTTCCATCCAACCTGGCAATCTTGAAATTGATGATGGATTGATGATTTTACTGTGTTTTTTTTTTTAATCTGCTGGGGTTTTTTGGGGTTTTTTTTTTTACAATGGACAGTTTTAACATTTTTCAATGTTTTTGCATCGTGAGCCAACCTGGGGTCGTTGGGATACCTGACGGTGGCGGGGGAAGAAAATGCATAAATAAATAAATAAAAACTCTACGGGGGGATGCCCAAAGCTGGAACCCTATGCCGAAATCCTGTACCAGTGATGGCGAACCTTTTAGAGACCAAGTGCCCCAAAACCACCCCGCCCTGCCCACCTCCGTGCCCCACTTGCCTGCAGGGCCACCCACCGCTTCCACGGCCTCACCGCAGATCGGCCAGGCGGCCCAGCAGCGCCATGGTGGCCACATCCTCCGCCCACGCCCCGCAGCATTACCTGCGCATGACGGAGCGCGAGGGCGGAGTCTTGTCCCCGCTACCCGGCTGCCATGTCCTTGGCAATGCTGCTATGTGTGGGCGGCACCCAGAGGCAACTCTCCTCCAGGGGGGGCTGCTGGTGAGGAGGAGGCCGTGGGGGGAGGCAGGGCTGGGGCGACGGCACGCGTGCCCACAGAGAGGGCTCTGAGTGCCGCCTCTGGTACGCGTGCCATAGGTTCGCCACCACTGTCCTATACGGTGTGCACCAAGTTGGAGAAAGGAGATTTATTTTGGATTCGCTCAATTGTAAGATTTGTATTTGACACAGAAAATCATTTAAAAAAAAAAAAGAGAGAGAGAGAGCCTTGGAAGCAAGAAAGGACACAGCTCAGTTTACATTTTTGTTCAGTGAGACAGGAACTGGAGACGGCTTTTATTTTATTTCCCCAGCCCCCCTTCCAAAAAAACACACAACTTGTTTATTTTTCTTTTCTTATGGGGGGGGGAGGCGGGAGAAAAACAGGGAAAGTCAACAAGGACCGGACAACAGGAAAAATTGACGGTCTGGGTTTCCATCAGTATGACATTTTTTATATAGAAAGAAACAGTTACCATACTATTAAATCTTCCGTGTTTTTTTTTCCTTTTTCGTTTTCCTTTTCAGCTCCAAATTTACAGATGCAAGGTCTAGCTTTCTACAGAACACAACGAGAAACAGCCACAAGAACGACAACGACAACAAAACCTAAGACAAAATGAAGGTGGCAACGACGCCAATATACCTCGGTCTGTTTTTTTTTTTCTTCTTCTTCTTTATCCTAAACTAAAGCCGATGCTGAAACGGGGGTTCTCCTATTGATAGAAAAGCTACGCCAAATAACTTTCTTCCATCAGGTCTTGTCGCAACCTGGAACTTCTGGCAAAGAAGCCAGGCTCGCTCGCACATACGTTCCCCCAAAATGCACACATTTTTTAAAAAATTTTCTAGGCTCTGTTCTTAAGACCAAATGCACTTGGCACACACGTACAGGTATATATATATATATATATATTTATATATGTATATATATTATCTAAAAACTACTCTTCAATTGTACACCCTGCCTTGCCCCCCGCCCTCCGCACCCTGTATAAGTTGCTAACGAAACTGTGGGTTCCAAAGAAAAATCTGGAGAAATATTTAATGCGCTTTTAAATTAAATCGGCGTTGATGCTGTACCAATTAACCAGTACGTGCCCTGTGTTTATTTGTTCTTTTCCCTGCAAAAGGAACATTGCCCAAACAGAGGTGAGGGCTGTTAAGAGACACTCTAGCACCTCTGAGGATTTTTTAAATAGTTTTACTCATATATATATATATATATATAATTACAACTTCTTTAAAAAATAAAAGAGCACCAGTTATTTTCACAGTGAGAGGTAGAATCAAATTGAAAAAGTCTGGCCCTCTCTCTTTCTCTCTCGTTTTATCTTTCTTTTCTTCAATTTAGCACCAAAGTTTCTTCACCCCTTTCCACTTTGGGGGGGAGGAAGAGACATCTCTCTCGCCCCCCCCCCATATCCAAGGGATGTTTTCATTTCCAAAAGGAAGAAGAATCTTGCTGGCTTTTATTTAGATTTTTTTTTCCTTGCCTTAAATAATATATATATATATCTATAATTTTTCTCTCTCTTCTTTCTCCTCTCTCTGTTTAATATTGCACATCAAAATCCTTCCTGTTCCAGAACAGTGAGCAGATAAAAAATAATCTTATAATAATATGATGGCAACTGTTTTGTTTTTCCAAGTCCCTTCCCTGTCTTGTCCAGCAAAACCTCTGTTTTGATAAACGACCTGGATTCCGGAATCGTGTGCTTGGGTCACCCAAAAGCTGGGTTTTCTGCAAGCAACTGTGTTTTGTTTTTTTCCCCCTCTCCCTTTGGCTGAAGGAGAGGAGGGGATGAGTCCATCTGTAGGTAGAGAATGTCAACTTCCAACTGGCCATCTCTGAAGTTGCTTCAGGCCCAACCGTGGTCCCCCAACCCCAACCCTGGGATTCTTCTGAACCATTTCTCCCAGGGCCAAGATGGAGAGGCTGAACGGATCCGCAAAGGCTTCTCGTTTGACGTGGTCCCAGTGCTGAAGCCCCCACAGGTCTCGGGGGGCTGACAGAGGTCCAGGTGGCCGAGTCTCCTGGCCGAAGACGCAGCTTCTCTTCTGAGAAGCTGAAGTGTGTGTGGAGCACCACAAAAAGTTGATTTCTAGAGGAAACACACTGGCCCAACTTCAAGGAAATACTCCTTCCCTGGCTTGCTTGACGGAAGGTTATACACACCCACGATCGGGAGCCGCTGGATGTCGTACGTCCGGAAGGTAAAGAGGGTGTGATGCCACTGACCGTCTTGAATCTGATTGAAGAGGAAACCTGATGGTTACACCGTTAACGCACGTGGGGCTGGAGGTAGGAAGACCCAACTGCCCCAAAGGGGGGAAAAATGAGAAGTTCATTGCAAAGCCCTTCCCTCGTCCTTCCCCCCCTTCCATCAAACTTTCCCTTCTGCCTCAAATGGATCATCAAACAAGACAAGCCAACTCTTCCCTCACGCCACCAATGATAAGGTCAAGTTATCCGACTTTGGACACATTATGCCAAGGCCCAATTCCCTGGAGAAGGATCTGATGATGGGGAAGGCTCAAATTATCTGATGTTGGACACATCATGCCAAGGCCCAATTCCCTGGAGAAGGATCTGATGATGTAGAAGAATGTAGAAGAAAAGAGAAGAGGAGGGTGATGAGCAGGAAAGGTGAAGGAACTCAATAATGGTGGTCATGGAGGCAAGCAATGGAAGATCTGAAAGACCAGGTTAGGATCAGATTGTCCTTGGAAATAAACTCTCTTTTCAAACTTTCCTTCTGGGTCTAATGGGAAAAAAAAGACTTGGAAACAAAAAACGGGAACTCTGATTTTATATACGTTGACGGCAGAAGACTGCTCTGCGTGCAAACATGGAAGGATGCTTCGATTCCCACCGTGGAGGCATGGCTACAAAAGTTGGTGGAATTGGTGGAGATGGCTAAATTGACCATTTTGGTAAAAAGAGAAGAATGTAAGTGCCTTTGTTTCTACTTGGAAACCGCTTCTGGACTTTGTGCTTGAGGTGGGAAAAAAAATGACACTACGATTTTGGGTTTTACTGATTAGATTGCTTTGCTGATATAGAACTGGCTAGTACGTACTACTCTGGAAATGAAAGAAGTTGAGGTTCAATGTTAATGCCTTATTTTACTGCAACAGTTGGAAGTCAACGCCTTTTTTTCCCTTTCTCCCCCCTTTCCACACTTCTCTTTCTCTCCTTCCCCTAACCTTTGTGACCTCTTATTTGCTTTTGTATCTTCGTATTTTGTGTTATAAGTGAATAAAAATCGTTTTAAAAACCCCCTGTTTCTCTGGCTGCTAGGAGTCAAAAACAATGGCACATAATCTGTCCGTCCATCCATTCATCTGAAGTTCCATCGTGGACATCCATGTGAAGGCTAAGATGGTAGCTACAATAATCCAAGATCTTCCCCGAGTTCCACTAAATTTCTTGGCAGCCTAAACGGCCTTAAAGTGGACTTCACGGTCCACAAAAAACACAGATATTTCACTCACCCTTCTCTCTTCTCTCCATCTCTCTACTCCTTTTTCTCCTTGTAGCCATCCTGCCAAGTTAATGATACCGAAAGGAAGGGATATGTGTGGCCACCATCCAGAAGGCTTTGAAGAAAGAGGGTGCAAGGATCAAACTTTTTAGCCATTGGACCTCAAGATCTCTTTTGTGAAGCTGCCCTTTATATATATATATCCAGGATGGAAGGTCTTCTGATTGAAATTCTTGCGACTGAAATCTCACAATTGAAACTATTTTCCAAAGCACCAGAAGGCAGAGTTAAGAAGCCACAGATGGAAACTCATCGAAGAGACGAGAACTAAGGAGAACTTCCTAGCAGTGAGGACAGTTAACCAGTGGAACGACTTGCCTCCAGAAGTTGTGGGTGCTCCATCACTAGAGGGTTTGAAGAAGAGACTAGATAGCCATTTGTCTGAAGTGATATAAGTTTTCCTGCTTGAACAGAAGGTTGGATTAGAAGACCTCCAAAGTCCTCACTCTGTTATTCTATGATTCTTCCCAGAAAATAGCACACACACACACACACTTATATATTGAGACTCATTCAGCAATAGCAGTCGCTGTCTCTACATTATGTAGTTATATCCCTGCTCCAGGGGAAAAAAGATAGTATCGAATAAGACACAGTGTCCTGTTAGTGACTGTGGTGGATAGGATGGGCATAAAAACAGAAGGAGAAAAATGCTGTGGTGGATAGGATGGGCATAAAAACAGGAGGAGAAAAATGCTGAATATGTGTTTCTCCAGAGCTGCTGTTCTCATGCTCCACTTTCCCAGGATGCTTAATGTACAACGTAAGCAGCAACAGCCACAACAACAGATGCAAAGAGCGGTCTCTTGCATCATATCCAGTTTCGTTTTTAGAGCTGAGCAAGCGTTCAATCCATCCAAGCTGCCAGCAGGGGACGCTTCTGCTTTTCTCAGAAAGTCTCTCCTCCCACCGCTGGGTAGCAGAGAGAGACAACCTGAAGCCTTGTAGATGCTTTCACCTCACAGCTCTCACAATTTTTGGGCAAGGAGCCATGCTGACTTGGGCGAAGCAGGAGTTGAAGCGGAGCTGTCTACCTCTGCTCTGGGTAATAAAACAACACCTTCAAGACGTAAGCAGATGTAGTTTGGGGAAGGAGACCTGTCAAGGGTAGTTACTTCTAGATCGTGATTATGAAATCGCCATCATTCTGATGGTCTTCTCTAGGGGGTGGTAGCACCCAACCCTTTCAACTCTGTTTTTTCCCCTGGAGAATTTCCATACCTGACAATTGTTTATCACCACGTCCGGTGTGAGCTGCCCTCCCTGTTCGAAGAGCTGCCCATTCCAGGCCTTGAAGCGTAGGGAGGCCCCTTCTGATGGTCCTTCTGGCCAAACCGGTGTGTTCAAGCAATGGATAGTGATGTTCTGAACGACTTCAGAGCTCAAGAGGTGAAGGAAGTTCATTTGTACTCTTCCGATATCGAAGTCCAGCTGAAGAAGGGGGAAAATTCAAGTTAAGGATAAAGACGGAACTCAACGTTCTGGCCAGGAGGAACATCTTGAGACCTTCGTCCATACAACTATTTATATACATTCCAGAGACCTTTAACTACACCTAAGCAGCCATGTACAGGAGATATACGAAACAATAAAGGGGGGGGAGATCTAATATACTTGGCTATCCACTGGTCAGTTAAGCATAGATTTGCACTAAGAAACATCCTTTCCATGGACACAGTAGCTTCCTGCAGGGGGCCAAATTATTCTCCGAAGCACCAGAGGGCAGGACAAGAAACAGTGGTTGGAAATTAATCAAAGAGAGAACAATCTGGAATTAAGGAGAAACTTCCTAACAGTGAGGATAGTTTACCAGTGGAACAGCTTGCCCCCAGAAGTTGGGAGTGCTCCATCACTGGAGATTTTTAAGAAAAGATTAGACAGTCACTTGTCTGAGACGGTATAGGTTCTCCTTCTTAAGCGGGGGGCTGGACTAGAAGACCTCCAAAGTCCCTTCCCGCTCTATTCTGTTCTGTTATATTCTTATTCTATTCTACTCTACTCTACTCTACTTCTACTCTACTCTACTCTTCTACTCTCTTCTGTTCTATTCTATTCTGTTCTATTCATTTTGGATTTCTATTCTATTCTATTCTATTCATTTTGGATTCTATTCTATTCTATTCTATTCTATTCTATTCTCTATTTTTGTGAATGAGTCCAACAGCTTTAACTACAAGACCCATTCACAAAACGGCGGCATTACTACTTCTTGGAACAAGAGATGACATGCCTGATATTCTGGCCAATAACGAGGCCCAGGAGAATCTCAAATTCTCAATCCTGATTCTGTTTAGACAGGGAAAAAAAGAAGAAGAAGAGATTGCTGAGCTTATTCACAAATTGTTTTGCTCCAGGCTATATATTGCAATTGCCTGAGTTATCCCTGAAAAGAATGCCTCGTTTTCAATTGAGCCAAAATACCACTTGGTCTTTTTTTTTTTTTTTTTTTAAATGTCATTGGATAGTTATTCCTTTCCAGGCTCAGCTTAAGACAGAGCTTCTTATTTTGAAAAGCTGAAACAGTTGGAACGTGGTACTTACGATGAGGATAAGCAACGTGTCAGCAACACGGGCACTGAAGCACGTGCCAGGCTCCCCATCCGCCTGTTTTTAATTTTTTGCAAAGCTTTTTATGGCATTGGGGGGGGGGGAAGGGAAACTGTGCAGCAAAGCTCTGGATACTTTATCTGCCTTTCCAAGAATATCTCTGTGCCCTACGTAGAACCACAGGCATCCTCCAAAAATGGCCTTCTTTTGAGAGTGTTCAATGGGCTACACATGAAATGTCGCATTCCAGTGGATTTCCTAGGAACAGCATGTGCTTTTTTTTTTTAAGAAATTTTATTGGTTTTTTAGTTTTTAAAACAAAGTGTTCAAGACACACCGTGGTGTTAGGGTAAAAAACATCAAAAGACAAAACATATATACGTAATTCAATCAATACATCAAATATTTCCTCTCTTTTTCTCTTAGGTAACATAATTTATTTAAAATAGTCCAATTCTAGCTTAAATTTATTCAGCCTATACCTGTTTTTAAAGCTTTAGAAATTTACACTACCATAATCAAATTAACTTTAAGTACAAACATTATCAATACGGATATCGCTTCCAAATATATTCCAGTTCCTTGATTTTATCATAAATCTTATTTAATTCTTCTTCCACTAATATCCCTTAGTTAAAATAAAATATTAATCTATCCTATACATATCTAGTCCATCAATTAATCAATCTCTTTAAGCTGACAGAAGAAAATCAGACCTTAAGTCATTTCGATCCATTAAACAGAATTCAAATTACATCCAATTAATTGTCATAACTAATAACATCCATGTTATCAAACAAACAGATTATCTTATTAGATAACTCAACATTACATAATAATTTTCTTACAAATAACCCTATAGTCCTAAAAAAGAAAAAAACACACACTCTTATTCAATTTAATATGTATTCCATTAATCACCCCTTTTTCTCTTACTTCTAACTCATAGTCTTAATCCTAAGTGTGTGCATTTAATGTACCTTAGATGCTGTGATAGGACTGAGGCAAGTGTGACCTCCTTGGGCGAAGTTGCAGGTGACCTGAATGCTGTCTGAAGAACAGCCAAGATTTGGGTCAATCCAGTAGACGCCTGAAGGAAGAAGACGAGAGAGAAGCAACAGGTGAGGCCAGATCCAGTTATACTGATATCTTTGAGAAGGCCACTGATTTTATCAAAGTTCTGGAGAAGAACAGTGTGGGAGCTACCAACGTTCAGACCTTCAAGATTAGATCTCTTTTGTTCCAGCTCTGAGTAGTAGATAGGAGTCTCCTTTCATCTTTTGTAGTAGATCATCATCATTGTGGGTGCTCCATCACTGGAGGCTTTTAAGAAGAGACTGGACTGACACTTGTCTGGCATGGTCTAGGGCAGGGGTCTTCAAACATGGCCCTTTGATGACTTGTGGACTTCAACTCCCAGAATTCCTCAGCCAGTGTGCCTGGCTGAGGAATTCTGGGAGTTGAAGAAGTCCACAAGTCATCAAAGGGCCATGTTTGAAGACCCCTGGTCTAGGGTCTCCTGAGTAGAAGACCTCCAAGGTCCCCTCCCACTCCGTTATTTTGTACAGAGGAGGTGTAATAATCTACACTCCAAAATGATTCTGCCTGTCCTGTCAGATCATCTAGAGAAGATGGCTCATCCCACGTGAAGAAGAAGGTGGCAAGACCAGGACACTGTAGAAAAGCCTAATCATGTAAATCTTGTGGCTCTGCTGCTCCTATCTTTCAGGAGCATAGTCAACGTTTTCTTGAGAGGGGCCTTCGATTCCATTTCCCTCACAAAGAAGGGAGAAATGGCCATCTTACACAACTCTTTTGTTGTCCTTTTCTCTACTGTTTTGTTCTTTGGGGTTTCAATTCATCAGGAGATAGGTTGAGATTCTTCTGGATGTTCCCAAGAGTTGTTACATTTGGGCAGAAAGTTCATGGAGGAGTGAAATCTAGACCTTATGGCTTCGTTCAGCTTTGCCCCAAATTGGTACAAATCTAGATACCCCTATGAAATCCATCCTCCTCCTCTTTTAAGACATCATGACTGATGTAGACCTTGGAGAACATGGATTTGTCTGCTGTCCATCCTGGAGCAGAAGGCTTACCATCCTGCATCTTTTGTTCACAGTTCATGAGGTCTTTACAAACACGGGTAGGGTTTTCTTTTGTCCCCAAGGGTCTCTTGATGCTCTGAATGAGGACACTGAGGTAGTGCAAGGTCTTAAAGATCTCCCCTCCTTGATCCATCACTGGAAGGTCCATCTGTTCGTAGCTCTGCCAGGAAAGGGAGAGGACGTTAATGGATTCCACACAGCGGCCAATCCTTTTATCCCCCCGTAAGCATGTCAGAAAGTCTTCCTTAAAGATCTCAGAAGCTCCCATGGTTTACCTCAGACCTGAAGACAGCGCTGGCAATCAACGTGGAGTGGAAAGCTGCAGCGAAGTCATCTTGCCCCTGGATTAGTGGAGAAAAGAAAAAGATATGGTAGACTTGAAGAAGGAAGCCCCTGCAGATGGGATACTTGCTCTGTCTGGATTAACGATGGAATCTCCTGGGCGGAGATGGTGAGGCTTAAATGAAATGAGAACCGCATGGACGCCTGTAACCCAATCTCCCAAAGGTTTCGTGGTTTTATTTCGGTTTTGAGGCAGTCCTTGGTGCTCTCTGAGCTTGTTTGTTTTCTTGCAGACATTTCATGACCTTAACTAGACAGCATCATGAGGGCTAGTAAGAGCACTCCTTACTAGCACTGATGTTACCTAGTTAGGGTCATGAAACGTCTGCAAGAAAACAAACAAGCTCAGAGAGCACCAAGGACCCAAGAGTCATCGTTCTCTTCTTGTTCTTCTTCTTGTTCTTCTTCTTGTTCTCCTTCTTCTTCTTCTTCTTCTTCTTCTTCTTCTTCTTGTTCTTCTTCTTCTTCTTCTTGTTCTTCTTCTTCCTCTTCTTCTTCCTCTTCCTCATCCTCATCCCCATACCCCAGTCCCTTCAAACATTGATGACATTACCTAAGTAAGTAATGAAACATCTGCAAGAAAGCAACCAAGCTCAGAGAGCACCAAGGACCCCACAGTCCCCCTCCTCCTCCCTGAAAAACCCCACTCTCTTCTAGCATTGATGATGTTACTAGGTTGGTAATGAAACGTCTGCAAGAAAACCACCAAGCTCAGACAGCACCAAGGACCCCCTCATTTCAACCCTGAGCTACAAAGATTGTCCTTCATTGGTATTTTGGGGGGTTTTTTTCAACACACTTCCCAAACCTGCAGAACTCTAAGGCCAATGAGGATTCGGAAAACTTACCAATGCAGCTTGAATTCCTGGTGGGCCCTGCAAAGATAAGAGACAAAGTTGGAAGAAGCATTAAGCAAGTTAAATCAAGAGCAAATTCTTGGCTACGGATGGCTGCGGATGGCTAGCAGGAAGAGGGAAGAGGTCAAGGTGGAAAAGCTTGAGTTGTCAAGAAAGAACATTGCTTGCGTCCGGGTCCCACAGCCCAGATGCAGAGAAGATTGGGCCACCATCGATTGCTTGGGTTTTCTTTGTAAGACAAACAGAACAAAAGCCCCAAATCATGATTTGAAATACCTACCGGTGGGCCAGGAGGTCCTCGGGGCCCTGGGATACCCTAGGAAGACAAGAGTCAAGATAAACCATGATTGATCCTTCAACCTGAACAGCCGGTAGCTGAACTGGAGATGCAAAACGTCACTATGTATGAGGGTAAAGGGAACCTCTTTTCCAAAGTTGTCTTCCTCTTTTTCACACACACACACACACACACACACACACACACACACACACTGTTCTTTCAAGAGGCAACTGGATTTTCACCTCTCATCTAAGAAGCTTCTTCAATTTTGACCGAATGGTGGGGAATGGAAGGATGTAGATTCCATGCAGTCCTCTGATTGTTAGTCCTTCTTTCTGAGAGTCGTTGAGGCCACCATGACCTCAGGGTCACCTGAATCCTGCAGTTTGCAAGTCCACTTGCCTTTTGAAAGAAAGCAGCTTTGGGCCAACCATGACCTGGGTGACTAGGAATCTCCGTAGACTTTTTCTTCACCCGCTTCCAAGGACCTTTTCATCTCTGCGCTCCATCTGTGATTCTCTCGCCTGGACTAAAATGTTGCATTCTATTCTTTTTAAGGCAGGGGGTCTTCAAACGTGGCCACTTTAAGACTTGTGGACTTCAACTCCCAGAATTCCAGAATTCCTCAGCCAGCCATGCGGAGGAATTCTGAGAGCTGAAGTCCACAAGTCTTAAAGTGGCAAGTTTGAAGATCCCTCTTTTTAAGCAAACTCCATATTTTAACCCAGAGAGGATCACTCTTCATTGGCACTTCCCTAAAGCCAAAGCAGAATGATCTGATTTCTCTCTCTCTCTTTCTCTCTCTCTTCAAACAGGAAACTTTTCAAGGATGGCTGAAGAGCTTTCAAGTCTTGGAGTGGAAGGAGCAGTCTTGACGGGACACACAGCCGTACTTACCTTTGGACCTTGGAGACCCTGAAAAAGAAAACAGAAGGAGTTGATTAATTCATTAACAGTTCTCAGTTGATTATTACAGCCATGGGCACAACACATCAAATTAAACAATCAACTGTGGAATATTTTTCGCACCCGGGGCACAGCATGGGCAACACTCACCGCTTCGCCTTGGCTGCCTTTCTCTCCTTTAGGACCCTGAAAAGGAAGTGAGAAAGGCACACTTATTAAATGTGTAAGACACCTAATGAAAACCTTCAAAGTCTCTGAAGCATGTGTGAATTGGCCGTCAGTGTAAGGAAGGTCGAGAATGGCTTGCCTTCGGGTGTTGTGGGCGCTCCAACACTGGAAGTTTTTAAGAAGAGATTGGACAGCTATTTCTCTGAAATGGTATAGGGTCTCCTGCCTCAGCAAGGGGTTGGACTAGAAGACCTCCAAGGTCCCTTCCAACTATTCTATTCTATTCTATTCTATTCTATTCTATTCTATTCTATTCTATTCATTTTGGATTCTATTCTATTCTATTCTATTCTATATTCTATTCTGTTCTCTATTCTATTCTATTCATTTTGGATTCTATTCTGTTCTATTCTATTCTATTCTATTCATTTTGGATTCTATTCTATTCTATTCTATATTCTATTCTATTCTAGTCGATTTATTCTATTCTATTCTATATTCTATTCTATTCTATTCTATTCTATTCTATTCTATTCTATTCTATTCTATTCTATTCTATTCTATTCTACTCTACTCTACTCTACTCTACTCTACTCTACTCTACCTTGAGATAAATTTGCTAATGTTAAGAAGAGGAATGAAGGATCAGGAGAGACACTTACAGTGTTTCCTGGTCGACCTGAAATCCCAACTGGACCAATGACACCTTCTTGGCCCTACAAAAACAAACCATCAATCAAGGTTGCACACGTATTCGATGGATAGTCCATACCACCAAGAAGATCTTCCATGTCTCTTTCCCAGTTTGATCTCCAGCCCTCTTTTCCTGGGGTAGTCCACCCAGCTACTAGCCATCTCCAATCCTCCTTAGCTTTTGACTCCAGATGAGGCTGGGAGCACCACCTTGCTTTTGGATCCATAGCACCAGATGTGTATCACAGAGCTTTCTCATGTCCAGAAGCTCATCTAAGGCATTTGGACTTTCAGCTGACCCAACAAAGGCTACCAGACCCAGAATAGGAGCTGCTTCTTGCTCCAGGTATCTCACCTTTTCTGAGTAGAGGAAATATTTATCAGGGAAGGAAGGTGGAGGAGAAGACCACTCACCTTCTACCATCCCATCCCTTGGAATAAATCTACTCCTTCCTCAACAGAGTACCTACTTTTCTGCTGATTCTTTAGACTGATTCCATCAGATAAGACTGACTGGTTGAGGAATTTGGTGATGTGGTGACAACCTGGTAGGACAGGGCTAAACGTTTTAGCCTCCGAGAAGAAAGCTGTCTCCATCACCATTACCACCAAACAGGTCAAAATCTGGTCCTTTTTGCTGCCCAATTTCAGCAGCCCAGTCACGGGGTGTGCAGAAGACACGGACGTCGAGCTGAATGCAGCTCACCATCTTTTAATTGAGAAGAAACCAGCTTCAGAGAGCTGAAAGTCAAGGCAAGAACGGTGAAGTCAACTCACCCAGATTCCTTGAGGCCCTTTAGGGCCCTGGATGCCTTTGAAGCCAAGATCTCCAGGTGGTCCCTATTGAGAGAAAGAAGTATTGGGTGAATATACCAGGTCAGAGCACCATCCACCCACTGGGGCATCATCTCTTTCAGCTATAACCTTCCGCTTTTGAAAAGTAGAACCATTTCAAATCATATTTTAAAAGATCCCGAAGTGGGACGATGCCCTACATCCAGGTTGCAACAAGCTCTGCTCTTGTTTCTCTCTCTTTCCCTTCCTTCTGAATTGTGCCCCTGTCCCCAAACAGAAATTGAAGCTATACCCAAAATAGGTGGCAGCAAACAAACTGAGCCCATTTCTAGTAGCTGTATCCTGACCACTTTTCATAGAGACACGATGGAGAACGTCTTAACAAACGGCATCACTGTCTGGTTTGGTGGTAGCAGAGCCTCAGATAGAAGGTCCATACAGAGAGTGGTAAGGACCTGCCATTCCAATTATTTCATTCTCCTATTCTATTCTATTCTATTCTATTCTATTCTATTCTATTCTATTCTATTCTATTCTATTCTATTCTATATTCTATATTCTATATTCTATATTCTATTCTACTCTTCTATATTCTATATTCTATATTCTATTCTATATTCTATTCCTTTCCATTCCATTCCAATTATTTCATTCTCTATTCTATTCCATTCCATTCTATTCTATATTCTACTCTACTCTTCTATATTCTATATTCTATTCTATATTCTATTCCTTTCCATTCCATTCCAATTATTTCATTCTCTATTCTATTCCATTCCATTCCATTCCATTCCATTCCATTCCATTCTATTCTATATTCTATTCTATATTCTATTCCTTTCCATTCCATTCCAATTATTTCATTCTCTATTCTATTCTATTCTATTCTATTCTATTCTATTCTATTCTATTCTATTCTATTCTATTCTATTCTATTCTATTCATTTTGGATTCTATTCTATTCTTCTATTCTATTCTATATTTCTATTCTATAATTCTATTCTATATTTCTATTCCATTCCACTCCACTCCACTCCATCCCATCCCATCCCATCCCATGACAGGAGTTTGTTCATGACTGGTCCCACCAACCTGCGCAGCTATCAACCATCTGCAGCTGCCATTTTGAGAGCAGGCTCACCGTTCACGGTCAATCTTTCTATGTAGACACATTTCACCAAAATAAGCCCTGTCTCGGATTTAAAGAACTTGTAATGACACAATTAGGGGAACCACCAACTCACCTTTGGGCCAAAGAGTCCAGCAATCCCTGGAAACCCTGATTCACCAACGTCTCCCTAGAAAGATTTTTTTTCAAGGAGCAGAAGGAGAAACAACAACACAGAGATGAAGCCAAAAATAATAATAATAATAATAATAAACAGCCTGAATTTCCCTTTCGTCCTTTGTGAAATTGGCAAAGAACAAAGGGCCCCAAAACCCAGATGGAAATTTAGCTCTCAAAACAAAGTCATCCTCTTCTCCACTATCATAGTTTGGCTTGGAAATAGGTCCGCTCGTCTCTTCCAGCTTCTGGAAGGACGGCAAGTTTTGCTGCAGTTGATGTCTTAATCTAAGCCTGTTTGGCAGAGGCTGATCCTCGGGAATAGAGAAGAGATGAAGAAGGAACCTGGCCTGGACAGCCCACGTTACTTCAGGAAATTGAATGCAGAAGCTCAGATGTTTGGCAGATCTGTTCTCTTCACCTGCCCCATCAATCAAACAGCAGAAGACTCGTTTTTCTTGGCCCGAGAGATATCTCAACCAACAGACTTCGGCAGCTACCGCACGCATCTACTCACCGGCTGTCCTTTGGATCCTGGATCACCGGAGGTCCCAGGGAGTCCCGTTCCACCTTGAGAACCTCTTTTACCCAATGGACCAACCTCTCCAGGCGAACCTCTTTCTCCCTAAGAAGCCACCAAAATAGTCCATCAGCGTACAGATTCCAGAAGTCCTCCAGCCCCATAGACTGAAGTTCTTTGCCCTTTGTTTGAACCCCCAAATCTCCCAAAATCCGAGCAAAGCACAAAGACTTGGCTGCGTCGTCCACCTCTGCAACCTTTAGATGGTGCACCTTGGGAGCACCTTGTGACTCCAGGCTACATGCTTAATTTGAGACTGATGTTCCAAGAAAGGGGCAGAAGCTTGAAAAACGTCGCATCCTCAACCTGCCTCTCCAAAATAATAGGGATTGAGGGGTCCTTGGTGCTCTCCGAGCTTGCTTGTTTTCTTGCAGACGTTCCATGACCCAAACTAGGTAACCTCATCAGTGATAGAAGGGAGGGGGGTTTTCAGGGAAGAGGGGGGGGGAGGAGGAGGCACCTTCCCTGGTAAAACTGGCTAGATTCACATGACCCTAAACCAGCTTGTCGTTCTCAATTCTGGTCATTAGGGGGCAATGATGGTCAATGGATACATCCCTGGTTAAATGAGGGAGAATTACATTTGCCTTCGCCCAGCCCCCAACAGTTCTGCAACCTACTTGGCATCTCTCTTTTCAACAAGTTCCCTTTTTCACAAAATGTTAGTAAAGAGAAGAACCAAAGGAAAACAGACACTTGCAGGCCCTGGACCACAATGCAACATTTCCAAAAAAAGAAAAGAAAAAAGATTGAACTTTTCTTTGAAGCTCTGGAGGGCCATCAGCTCTGAAAATTTTCTCCAATATTGGATTTTGCTTTCCAGTTGATATATTTGGCTAAATGTCTATGGAGATTCTCCGTCATCCAGGACACGGTTGTCCCAAAGGTGCTTTTTTCAGAAGGCAACTGGACTTCCTTGTTTTTCTTTGAAGATGTCTCACTTCTCATCCAAGAAGCTTCTTCAGCTCCGACTGGATGGTGGGAAATGGAAGGATTGATACTCCTTGCAGACAGCTGGTCATTTGCCTTCTTTTAGAGAGTCGTTGAGGCCACCTGGAGGTTTACCTGTGTCCCTGAGGACACAGTGACCCTAAAAGACAGGTAAACCTCCACGTGGCCTCAATGACTCTCTAAAAGGACGCAAATGACCAGCTGTCTGCAAGGAGTATAAATCCTTCCATTTCCCACCATCCAGTCGGAGCTGAAAAAGCTTCATGGAATTTTGGGAGTTGAAGTCCACAAGTCATAAAAGGGCCAAGTTTGAAGACCCCTTCACCCAATAGATCATGGCAGTCACTCAAACATAAAACGTATTTTCAGACTATCAACCAACCATCATCATAAAAAAAAAAATTGAAATCTAAATGCAAGAGAGGGCCATCAAAATGCCCTCAGTCCAGAAAAGATCACCATCACCATCAACCTATTTCAACTGCTAATGTAACCACCCAGGCACCCGAACGTGGCACAACTAGGCCTTTAAGGCAATTTTAAAGAAACAGTTGGAAGGGACACCACAATACACAAAATAAAATATGTTAATGAACATCCCAAGGCGCTTGGTGCAGAAACTCCAGGGTGTCATTTCTCTGCTGACAAAGAACAGGTGGAACCAACCTTAAATCCTGTGGGGCCTTGTGCTCCAGGTAAGCCAGGGACTCCGAAGTTCCCTCTTTTCCCTGGGATCCCTGGGGTGCCTTCTTCCCCATCCTCACCTTGTTCACCCTAATTTGGGGGGAGAGGGGAGAAAGAACATCAGCGGAGGTACATCTCCATCATAACACTGATTCCTATCAATGAATCGTTATAGTGATGAATTGTAAGGGATATAGAATAGAGTAGAGTAGAGTAGAGTAGAGTAGAGTAGAGTAGAGTAGAGTAGAGTAGAGTAGAGTAGAGTAGAATAAAATAGAATATGGAATAGGAATAGGAGTAGAGTAGAGTAGAGTAAAATAGAATAGAATAGAATAGAATAGAATAGAATAGAATAGAATAGAATAGAATAGAATAGAATAGAATAGAATAGAATAGAGGTGGAAGGGATCTTGGAGGTCTTCTAGTCCAGCCCCCTGCTCAAGCAGGAGGTCCTATACCATCTCAGTCAGATGATTGTCCAGTCTCTTCTTAAAAATCTCTAGTGATGGAGCGCCCACGATTTCTGGGGGTAAGCTATTCCATTGATTGATTGTCCTCACTGTCAGGAAGTTTCTCCTTCATTCCAGGTTGCTTCTCTCCTTGATCAGCTTCCTACCATTGTTTCTCGTCCTGCCCTCGGGTGCTTTGGTGAACAACCTGTCCCCTTCTTCTTTGTGGCAGCCCCTCAGATACTGGAACACTAATGTCATGTCTTCCCTATTTCTTCTTTTCTTTAGACTAGCCAAATCCAAGTCCCGCAGCCGTTCTTCGTATCTTTTGGTCTCCAGGCCTTTGATCATCTTAGCTGCTCTTCTCTGAATTTTTTCCAGACTCTCAACATCTTTTTTGTGGCATGGTGACCAAAATGGGCTGCAGTATTCTAGGTGTGGCCTTACTAGGGCTTTATAAAGCGGTAATAGTACTTCGCGTGATCTTGATTCTGTGCTTCTGTTTATACAACCCAGGATTGTGTTAGCTTTTTGGCTGCTGCCGCACACGGCTGGCTCATAGTCAAGTGATCGTCCACCAGGACTCCAAGGTCCCTCTCACAGTTACTGCCTCCAAGCTTGTGCTTTTGGTTTTTCCTGCCTAAGTGTAAGACTTTGCTTTTCTCCACACTGAGACTCATTTGGTTGGATAGGGCCCATTGTTCAACTTTGTCATGTAGTTGCCATGTAGTTGTATCAGTGCCAGCCATACTTCTATGAGCTGCCTTCCACTTACTTTTTGCCCACGGTTGCCGTCTTTTCCAGGAATCCCGTCAACTCCAGGGGTGCCCTCTTGTCCTTCTCGCCCAATGACCCCTCGGGGGCCTGGCAGCCCAAGAGGACCCTAGAAGAACAGCCCTTGGTTACAAATGGAATGTGGATTGGCAATGTCAAACAAGGTCAACACAATTTAAAACTGGATCAACCATATATCCCAAATATGCTGGAATGTCTTGTTTCTCTTTGAAGACATTTCACCTCATCCAAGAAGCTTCTTCAACTCTGACTGGAAGGATTTATACTCCTCGCAGACAGCTGGTCATTTGCATCCATTCAGAGAACCGTGGAGGCCACTTGGAGGTTCACCTGTGTCCTCATGGTCACCTGAGCAGTGCAAATGGGGGTAGAGCTGTGCTTTCTGCAAGACATTTTCTGCCCTGTGTCTGCAAGGAGTATAAATCCTTCCATTCCCCACCACCCAGTCAGAGCCAAGGAACCTTCTTGGATGAGAAGTGAAAGTAGCCAAACCCAAATCCTGCAGCTGTTCTTCGTGTGTTTGAGTCTCCAGGCTTTTGATCATCTTAATTGCTCTTCTCTGACCTCACAAATTATCCATGACTGAAGTTCTTAAACCATTGGGGAGACATAATCAGATACAGCCAAGGCACAACAGATAGTGGGTGTATCATGGGTGCCTGCCACTGGATGAGTAGAAGCAAACTTACCGGTGATCCACGGCTGCCTCTGGCACCCCTTATTCCTGGTTTTCCTTTTTGACCCTTAGTAGGGAAAAAGAACGAAAGACACAGAGATCAGTTAATAATAATAATAATAGTAAAGTCCAACCCCCTGCTCAGGCAGGAAAACCTATACCATTTCAGACAAATGGCTGGCCAGTGTCTTCTTAGAAACATCCAGCGTTGGAACATTCACCGCTTCTGAAGGCAGGTTGTTCCACCGGTTAATTGTTCTAACTGTCAGAAAGTTTTTCTTTAGTTCTAGGTTCTCTCCTTGATTAGTTTCCATCCGTTGCTTCTTGTCCTGCCTTCAGGTGCTTTGGAGAATAGTTTGACTCCCTCTTCTTTGGGGCAGCCCCTGAGATACTGGAAGACGGCTATCATGTCCCCCCTCGTCCTTCTCTTCATTAAACTAGACATACCCAATTCCAGCAACTGTTCCTTATATGCATTAGCCTCCAGTCCCCTGATCATCTTTGTTGCTCTTCTCTGCACTCTTTCTAGAGTCTCAACATCTTTTTTACATCGCAGTGACCAAAACTGGATGCAGTATTCCAAGTGTGGCCTTACCAAGTGGTCTTAACACTTGACGTGTACACGTTCAACAAGTACACCTCTCCATCAGGCAGAGCTGATCTCAGATTCTTATCTTTTCCAATATTCAGTTGATTCTGCCCCATCTCCATATTTGTTGGTGATGAGTTTGGGGGCTACTTTTTTCTTCAATAATTGGTAAAATATTGTGGGGGGGGGGAAGTCTAGTAGCAGAACACCTTGCTTTACCTGGACATTTGGAGCAGGCAAATTGGGAACGATGTTGTTCAAATGGGAATGGAATTCCCCTTCCATGAACTGGCTTCATTGAATTGAAATTCCATTGAATGGAACCATCCTTCCTTGGAATCCCCCAATTGCCTCATCCACCAGATAGTCCCTCATCTATTGAGGTTCTTCAAAATGCACTTGCTCAGGACCAATTGATAGCCTCCTTCTTCTGATTTCAGATCTTTCACCACCAAAGTGAAAACACAGCTAGCCTTTGAATCGCCCGCTCTAAGCCCAGAAGATGGAACGTGTCTCCCTAGCATAAACAAACAAGTAATCAGAAATCTCCTGATATAGATATGTAGCCTGTCAGAGAAGGAACTGGGCACACCAACTTCAGATCTGTAAAAGAAAAAGAGTCACCTCTGCGTGCAGAAATGGCTATTTTCTTCTACAGATGTTTTGTGGCCTTCAGTCGAGCAAGGCAGCAAATGTTCAAGACAACCATCTCTCCAACTAAATCTGATCTGTTATGAAAAAGGCACCAGGCCGTGTCCACTTTCCAAAACATACCAGACTGCCTTTGGATCCTTTGAGGCCTGGGGATCCTGGGGGTCCTGGATGTCCCTGAAAAAAGGAAAGAACCAAAATTATATCCTTGGAAATGCCTCTCTCATAGAACACCAAGACTGAGCTAAGCTGGGCAGACGGAATCTCTTAGAGCATGGGTGTCCAAGCTTAGTAACTTTAAGATGTGTGGACTTCAACTCCCAGAAGACGTGGATTTCAATTCCTAGAAGACATGTGGATTTCAACTCCCAGAAGATGTGTGGACTTCACCTCCCAGAAGATGTGTGGACTTCAACTCCCAGAAGACGTGGACTTCAAATCCCAGAAGACATGTGGATTTCAACTCCCAGAATATGTGTGGGCTTCAACTCCCAGAAGACATGTGGACTTCAAATCCCAGAAGACATGTGGACTTCAAATCCCAGAAGACGTGTGGACTTCAACTCCCAGAAGACTTGTGGTTTTCAACTCCCATGCCGTCTGGGCAATTCTGAGATTTGAAGCTGACATATCTTAAAGTTGCCAAGGTTGGATACCCCTGACTTAGAGGAAGAACAGACTTTGCTTTCCTCATCAAACTGGAAATGGAAGAGTCCCTGGGTCCTGCTACACCTTATAAGGGGACCTCCAGCACACCAGAACTGCATCCCGTATTCCCAGGAAGTCAAAGAGAACATCAGCACAAGGTGAGAAGAAATATAGATTGTGGAATCCCCTCCTTGGATGATGTTTTGACTTCTACTGGAGGAGACGCTTGAGAAGAATAAAAGGAGTAAATGCAACAATCACAGTGTCTTACAGGCAAACCTTGCTGCCCGGCTGTTCCTCGCTCGCCATCAACTCCTCCTTGGCCCTGGAGGAAAATCAGAGAGAGAGAAAATCCAAATGAAGGATTCAGTCAACAATGTTTGGTCCAGAAGGAATCGTTCCCCTCGCCCTTCTTATTTTCTCCCCATAGCTTAAAGACTAAAGGATGCCCTTCTCGCCCTCTGCTGGAAATAAATTTCGGCATTCAGATTTTTCCTCCACCCTCCCACGTTGCAGCAGGGAGCATCCTTGTGCCCCCGGATCAAAGTGACATCCAGGAGACGGCACGCAAACAGTGGCATTTTGAAGAAAAGAGATTACGTTGTATTTTACAAGTCTACCCCAGAGAAAACGTGTTAAAGGAGAAAAGCAGGAGGACTTGTCTCTTTTTTTTAAAAAAAAGTCCTTTTTGTAAGTTATATTAGCATCTATGTAGATTGAAAGGAGAAGGGAAAACTTGCAAGCACGACGAGGAAGCCACCGTAGATAAAGTGGAATTTTGCATCATTTAACTCGGTGTTCATTCTGGGCTTCCATTCCCAGAGTTCCCCAGCCAGCATGCTGGCTAAGGAACTCTGGGAGCTGAAGTCCACCTATCGTAGAGAGGTCAAGGTTGAGAAACACTGAAGTAATTGTGCTTCCTTGCTCAAAGGAAGGTTCAAGGTCTTCATATGATGGTTGACTCATATGGCTCCTTCCTCGTTTGACCTCTCTACCCTTCTGCCACCTTTCTGCTGCTGAGTTACATCCAAATTATCCTTCCCCCAAACAGGCCTGTTGGATTAAAATTCCCAACATCCCCGGCCATCACGGTTGTACGGAGACGATAGGCATTCTAGACTAGGGGTCCTCAACCCCAAGTCTATGAACCAGTACCGGGACGTGGCATGCAAGCAACTAGTCCGCACAAAAAAGCAAAACCCTGTCCGTGGGATACAGGCAGAGCACAATACCACGCACTCTCCAGTCCATGGAAAAACCTTTCTCCACGGAATCGGTCCCTGGTGCCCAAAAGGTTGGGGACCTCTGCTCAGTCTAGACCACACGGAACTGACATCTTGTTGGAACAAGTAGAGACTGCTTAGGATAGGGGTCTTCAACCTTGGCCCTTTTATGAGTTGTGGACTTCAACTCCCAGAATTCCTCAGCCAGTATGCCTGGCTGAGGAATTCTGGGAGCTGAAGTCCACAAGTCATACAAGGGCCAAGGTTGAAGACCTCTGGTTTAAGATTTCAAGGACAGAAGATTGCAGAGAAGAAGAAGAAGAAGAAAGTACTGTTCCCAAGATGGTTAATTTCCTAACCAGGTATTTGGAGAAGGACTCACAGGATAACCAGGGTCTCCAGACTCCCCACGATCTCCCCTGTTGCCAGTGGGACCCTAAAAAAGGAGAAGGTGAGAAAAACACAAAAACCACATGAGATACGGTCTCGTGTTCCAAATCCCTACTTCGTGTTTTAAGTCATGGTGAGGGTATAGCTATCCAGAGAAGCAGGGCTTTCTGGGTGATGGCCTCCAGTTAGTGAAGTATCTCCCAAAAGAGGTCCAACAGGCTCCATCCCTTCTCTTCTTCGCAAGGTGACCACCACCTCTTAGGCCTTCCATCAGCTGCCCACCATTGGCCACAAGACTTGAGTTGCTCTTGGGAAGACCTTGATCGATAAATAGTCCTGGACAGAACAGGTAGCTTACTCTCTCTCCAGGTGGCCCAGGGGGTCCCTCCTTCTTCCCATCATCACCTTGTTCTCCCTGAAAACACAAAACACTTGGTTTATAGGGCAAAAGATGGCTAGTTCAACATGGATGTAAAGAAGCACACAACGACGGAGCTACATTCATGCATTCCCCAACCAGTGGCCATCTAATCTAGAGGTCCCCAACCTTTTGGGCACCAGGGACCAATTCTATGGAGAAAGGATTTCCCACGGACCAGAGTGCGTGGTTTTGTGTGCTGCCTGCATCCGACAGATGGGACTTTGTTTGTTTGTGCGGACCGGTTGCCCAGTACCGGTCCACAGACCAGGGGTTGGGGACCCCCAATCTCATCATTTCTTGAACACGTCCAGGGAGAGATGAATTTTTTTTTTCCTGGCATCAATCCGAACCGCCTTCTCAGGATGGAAATTCTGCTGCCCAGCAGAGCTTGCTCAAATAAATTTTTTTTTTAAAGTTAATTTTAAAAAAAACAAATCCTCCAGATCAGGAACCTGCAGTTAAGTATGAATGGAAAAGGAGAGGGTGAGAGCAGATCCCTTCCTAATGTCCACCGTCTCTGGGTGAGAAGCATCGTTTTCTAATTTGGAAGAGGGAAAAATGAAGTTTCTCCAGCTGGACTTCTCTTTGCTTGGCAAGGACAATTTAAAGAGCTGCAGATAGACCGATCCAAGAAGAGTCATTGACTAGGATTGTTGTTGTTGTTAATTGCGAAGTCGTGTCCGACCCATCGTGACCCCATGGACGTTCCTCCACGTCTTCCTGTCCTCTACCATCTTCTGGAGTCCATTTAAGTTCATGCCTGCTGCTTCAGTGACTCCATCCAGCCACCTCATTCTCTGTCGTCCCCTTCTTCTATTGCCCTCCATCTTTCCCAGCATTAGGCCCTTCTCCAGTGAGTCCTTCCTGCTCATTAGGTGGCCAACGTATTTGAGTTTCAACTTCAGGATCTGGCCTTCTAAAGAGCAGTTGGGGTTGATCTCTTCTAGGACTGACCGGTTTGAACGCCTTGAAGTCCAAGGGACTCGCAGGAGTCTTCTCCAGCACCAGAGTTCAAAGGCCTCCATTCTTTGGTGCTCAGCCTTTCTTATGGTCCAACTTTCACAGCCATACATTGCAACTGGGAAAACCATGGCCTGGACTATACGCACTTTTGTTGGCAAAAGTGACTAGGATACGCCCTGGCATTACAACGTGCCAGCGTTGGGGAGAATCAGCCGGCCAAGAACAGACCAAAGTTCTAGGGCACTAAAGTTTCTAATCCCTTGACATTTCAACTCGCTGAGTTCCTTATCTGTGTCTTCATGAAGTCGCTCGAAAAGTATCTCTCTGTGTTGGACATTCTCCTTCTAGGGAGCCTCCAGAATGGTGATAGCTCTCCCATCCAAGAATGACCAGGTCTGACCCTGCTTAGCTTCTCAGACCCGAAACAGGGGCTCTGCCTAGGACCCTCAATAAGGTTCTCGGGACCCCCCAGCCATAAAGGTTACAGAGATATGATGTTATAATTTAGGTTAAAGAGAGACCCAACAGTAGAACTAAGGAGAAAAATTTCTGACAGGGAGAACAATTAATCAGTGGAACAATTTGCCTTCAGAAGTTGTGGGAGCTCCAACACTGGAGGTTTTCGAGAAGAGACTGGACAGAGTTTCTCCTGCTTGAGTGGGGGGTTAGACTAGAAGACCTCCAAGGTCCCTTCCAACCTTATTATTCTATGTTCTGTAATACCTGCATAGCTCCTTCGCTCCTTTCCCCATAGCAATGGTTGGATGATGCCAGGGTAGAGATTTTTCAAGCTCAAAAAATAAGAGTGAAAAATGGCTCTCATCAAAAGATCATTGCAATGAAAATGGACCGTCTCCCATGCAGCATCCTCTCTGTCCATTTACCTTTTCTCCCTTAGGTCCAGGAAATCCCATGGTGCCCGGTGATCCTGGGTGTCCCTGCAGATTAGAAGAAAGGGTGAAATGCCATCCTCTGTGGAAGTCTACTTCGGCACATGGACCTTGACAAATGGCCTTCAGCACCATGGACCTGAGTTCGTTCTTTGTTCCTGGACTCCAGGATAAGTGGAACCTCCCTCTCTCTCTCTCCCTCTGTCTCTCTCTGTCTTTCTCTCTCTCTCCCTATCCCTCCCTCCCTCTCTCTCTCCCTCTCCTTCCCTCCCTTCCTGTCTCTCTGTCTCTCTCTTTCTCTCCCTCTCTCTTCCCCTCCCTCTCCCTCTCTCCCTCCCTCTCTCTGTCTCTCTCCCCTTTCTCTCTCTCTCTCTCTCCCTCCCTCTCTCCCTCTCCTTCCCTCCCTGTCTCTCTCTGTCTCTCTCTTTCTCTCTCTCCCTCCCTCTCTCTCTGTCTCTCTCTCCCTCCCTCTCCCTCCCCATCTCTCTCCCTCTCCCCCTCCCTCCCTCTCTCCCTCTCTCTCTCTATCCCTCTCCCCCTCCCCCTCCTCCCTCTGTCTCTCCCTCTCCCTCCCTCCCTCCCTCTCTCTCTCTCTCTCTCTCTCTCTCTCTCTCTCTCTCTCTCTCTCTCTTACTCCAACCCTACCCCTCATTCTATGGATCTTCTCCAGGGGTGGAGAAAAGGGACACATTTGAGAAGAAGCTGAGATGTCCCAAGAAAATAACAGTTCCTGATTATAAAAAGGCAGCAAGATAAGAACTACACAGACCACTGCATGGTCCCTAAAAGGCAGCTTAGTGTATCCACAACAGTCCCAAACCATAGTTACCTGATAGCCTTTTAATCCCATCTCTCCTTGGACACCCATCTGGCCCGGAGGTCCCTGTCAAGAAGAACAGAGAGTCAATTCCATCCTTGCTCTTCCTGAAATTGGCTCAGTCGTTTCGCGAAGAAAAATGTTGTCTCTCTCTAGCTCATATTCATTCACACTCTCTAAGGTTTTAGCCTCTCAAGAGCCTTCCTTTGAGAAACCTAGATCCCAGGATCTTCTCTAAACTGAATAGACCCACCTGTTCTCTCCCAAACTTGTGTGGGCTTCTCTGCTTTCCTCTAGTTCTTCTTTAAATAGAAGAAAAGGAGGTTGGTCTGGGAATAATGTCACAGAAAGAGAGATGACATTCAAGAGGACTTGGATTTTTCTAGACCAGCATCATTCTCCTGATGGTCCCAGTAATAGAAGTCCAACCCTTGTCTCCATTGAGGTTCACCAGCAACTGAACCTCAGGCTGTTTCTACTCCTGGAGAAATATGTAGTCATCTTTGACCCTTAAGAAGGGAACCAATGGAACCTCAAGTTGTTTCTACTCCTGGATGAGATATATAGTCATCTTTGACCCTTAAGAAGGGAACCAATGGAACCTCAAGTTGTTTCTACTCCTGGATGAGATATACAGTCATGTTTGACTCTTAAGAAGGGAACCAATGGAACCTCAAGTTGTTTCTACTTCTGGATGAGATATATAGTCATCTTTGACCCTTAAGAAGGGAACCAATGGAACCTCAAGTTGTTTCTACTCCTGGATGAAATATATAGGCTTCTTTGACCTTAAGAAGAGAACCAACAGAATCTCAAATTGTTTCTACTCCTAGATGAGATATATAGTCATCACTGACCCTTAAGAAAGGAACCAATGGAACCTCCTGAGTTATTTCTACTCCTGGATGAGATATATAGTCATCTTTGACCCATAAGAAGGGAACCAACAGAACCTCAAGTTGTTTCTACTCCTGGACAAAATGCATAATCATCTTTGACCCTTAAGAAGGCAACCAGTTTAAGCTGTTTCTACTTTATTCCTCAAAGTAACATCAGTTCATTGCTCAGGCAGGTAGAGAGAGGGAAAGAATGAATTTCATTGCATTTTATTAGAATATACCAATAAAGTCTTGCCTCTGAACCATCAGTACTTGACCGGTTTGGGTCATATGGTACAGCTCTGCCCAGACGTTTACAGAAAAATCCCATTTGGGCGACTTGACGAGAAGAGCCGTAAACAGGGGAATGATATCTCAAGGCAAAAACACGAGTGGGTAGAACACAGGTAACTGGGGAAGAACAGTTTTAATGGATTATAACTCAAGAGTAAATTTTAAAAAGCCAATTCTCACCCTAGGTCCAAGGGTACCTCTTGATCCTTTGGGGCCCTGAGTCCCTGTGGAGCCCATAGGTCCAGGTGGGCCCGTCTCTCCAAGCTGTCCCTCGTGACCTTTGTTGCCCTGAAGAAGAGCAGACACATCAGCAATTGATACCACACTAGTCCCCCATGGTTGACCTGTCTCGGCCGGGACTATAACATTAAACTGAAAGGGGGGGAGAATGGAATGGAATGGAGTGGAGTGGAGTGGAGTGAAGTGGAGTGGAGTGGAATAGAATAGAATAGAGAATGAAAGAATAGATTAGATTAGATTAGAGTAGAGTAGAGTAGAATAGAATAGAATGGAATAGAATATATGGAATGGAATGGAATGGAATAGAATAGAATAGAATAGAATAGAATAGAATAGAATAGAATAGAATAGAATAGAATAGAATAGAATAGAATAGAATAGAATAGAATAGAATAGAATATATGGAATGGAATGGAATGGAATAGAATAGAATAGAATAGAATAGAATAGAATAGAATAGAATAGAATAGAATAGAATAGAATAGAATAGAATAGAACAGAGCTGGAAGGGACCTTGGAGGTCTTCTAGTCCAACCCCCTTCTCAGGCAAGAAACCCCATACCATTTCAGACAAATGGCTGTCCAGTCTTTTCTTAAAAGCCTCCAGTGATAAAGTAGTCACAATGTATGAAGGCAAGCTGTTCCATTGATTAATTGTCCTCACACAAGTCGGAACATTTCTCCCAACAAAGCAACACAAATTAATTTAAAAATATTTAGCATGTCAAGGAAGAAGCTATGTTAGAACTCTCTTTGACAGGCTAGTTCTCTGATGATGCTACCTAGTTGGATCATGAAATGTCTGCAGGAAAACAAGCAAGCTCAGAGAGCATCAAGGACCGCATAGTCCTCCTATTCCTACTCCTCTCCGCAAACTCCTTCCCCTTCTAGCACTGGTGATGTTACCTAGTTTGGGACATAAAACATCTTCAAGAAAACAAGCAAGCTCACAGAGCACCAAGGAGAATTTAAAAAGATGGAATCACCCCTACCTTAAGTCCAGCTTTGCCCTTTTCTCCTTGTTGGCCAGGTTTTCCTTCTGGACCCTGAGAAGAAGAAGAAAAAGAAGAAGGACATCAAGGGTCAAGGTCTTCCAAAAGTCAAGAGTTTAATTAGACAGGTTTTTTCACACGAGAAGGTATTTCACACCAACCTGAGTTTCTTAGATGACTACCCATAGTCCCGCTAAATTATAACCACTCCACCCTGACCCTCATTTTAAAACAAAATAATTTAATATATTTTTTTCCCATGGTTCATTTGAGAGTTAGCAAACCAATGTTTGTTTGTTTTTCCAATTGCGCACTGCCCAGAGGTCGCGATACATTTTTCAGCAGAAAGGAATTACAGAAGCCGCTTATTTGAGGCGGGCAGATAAAACACTATTGAGGCTTTCTGGAGCTACTACTCCTTTCACATCCTTGTTTATTCCTGTTGAGGCCGTTTGGGGATTAGTGAGAAATCCCCCTCACTTACCACTTTTATTAGTGCGGTTTAAGCTTACATTATTTAGGATTCAAGTAAGGGATGCGACCAATCTGTTTACAAATAAAGCAAAGAAGGAAACAAGATGATAAAGGTTCCTCGGTGATTTGGGAAGTGAGAGAATGGGTCCAGATAGTGGCCCATTTTGGCTGGCAGACATCTGCACCAAATAATAACAATAATAACAAAAGAAAAAGAAGGAAGAGGAGGAGGATGGGGAAGGAGTCATGAAAAGGGAGAACAAGGAGGTGATAAGAAGAAGGAGAAGAGGGAGAGGAGGAGGAGGAGGAAGAGGAAGAGAAGGAGGAGGAGGAGAAGAAGGAGGAAGAGGAGGAGGAGTCATGAAAAGGGAGAACAAGGAGGTGATAAGGAGAAGGAGAGGAGGAGGAGAAGGAGAAGGAAGAGAAGGAAGAGTCATGAAAAGGGACAACAAGGAGGTGATAAGGAGAAGGAGAGGAGGAGGAGAAGGAGAAGGAGGAGGAAGAGAAGGAGGAGTCATGAAAAGGGACAACAAGGAGGAGATAAGGAGAAGGAGAGGAGAAGGAGGAGAAAAGGGAGAAGGAGGAAGAGAAGGAGAAGAAGAGGGAGGAGGAGGAGAAGTTATGGTTTGAATGCAGCAAAAAATACTGGAACACCAAATTGACAAAAATTCTTGAAAATAAACAGGTCAAGATGCTGTGGGATTTTCAAATCCAACCAGACAGTCATCTGGCCCACAACATGCCTGACATCACTACTGTGGAAAAGAAAGAAAAAAAGTCTGGTTCACTGATATTACAATACCAGGTGATGCACGAATTGAAAAGAAACAACTAGAAAAAACAAAGAAATGCCGCGATCTGCAAATTGAAGCTAAGCGATCGTGAAGGACGAAACAAATCATTGTACCAATAGTAACCGGAGCCACTGGAGAAATACCCAAAGGGTTGCCTAGATACGTGGACATGTTTTGAAGTCATTAGACTTGAATATTCTGACTTTGAAACAACAACATCAACAAACAAACAATCTTACTTGGAACTGCCTATATATTCAGACGTTACCTTAACAGCTCTTAGGGCCTTGACTAAGACTTGAACTGTTAAGTTTTTACCAGTCCCAGAGTGTGAATCGAATTGAAGATTAAATGAAGGAAGAGGAAGAAGAAGAAGGAGGAGGAGGAGGAGGAGGAGGAGGAGGAGGAGGAGGAGGAGGAAGGAGGAAGAATGAGGAAGGAGGAAGGAGGAGGAGGAGGAGGAGGAGGAGGAGGAAGGAGGAGGAGGAGGAGGAGGAGGAGGAGTAGGAGGAGGAAGGAGGGAAGAGGAGGAGGAGGAGGAGGAGGAGGAGGAGGAGGAAGGAGGAAGGAGGAAGGAGGAGGAGGAGGAGGAGGAGGAGGAGGAGGAGGAGGAGGAGGAGGAGGAGGAGGAGGAGAGGAAAAAAGAGAGAGAAAGCTGCTAGGTATTTTCCCAAGGATGTGAGATGACTCATCCTATTTCATGACTTTGAACAGGGAAGCCAAGGGCCTCTGTTTCACGATGATGAGTCCCGCAGTCCTCAGGCATTCAGCCAAACAATTGGTGGGATGGAACACCACAGCTGCTGGAGAGTTGATGAAATAATGAATTTATACAATATTTTTTTCCAAACGAGGAGCTGTATCTTTCAAGAGGGCTTTGGCGTTATTCCATGGAGCAAAACCTTGCTCTGATTCAAATCCCTTGATCTTAGGAGGCAGAAGATGGATGCTGAAGAAACTCGTGCTTGATTTATCTGCAGATACTTCAGTCTGGGTTGCCGGTGAAACATGGACACTAACCTCACTAAGGACCCCACAGTCGTTGTCGTCGTCCTCCTCCTCCTCCTCCTCCTCCTCCTCCCTGAAAACCCCCCTCCCTTCCAGCACTGATGATGTTACCTAGTTGGGTCATGAAACATCTACAAGAAAACAAGCAAGCTCAGAGAGCACCAAGGATCCCACAGTTGTCCTCCTCCTCCTCCTCCTCCTCCTCCTCCTCCTCCTCCTCCTCCTCCTCCTCCTCCTCCTCCTCTCCACAAACCCAACTCCCTTCTAGCACTGACGATGCTACCTGGTTTAGGTCACAAAACATCTACAAGAAAACAAGCAAGCTCAGAGAGCACCAAGGACCCCCTCATGTCAACCCTGAGCTACAAATATTCTCGTTTATTACTCTCTGTAGTTGTTTTGGCATGCAATGCTCTCTAGCGGCGTCTTGAGGGGAGAAGTTGAAAAAGTTTACGTCCAGGATATGAGGAAGCCAGTAGATATCTTACGGTTTGTGCACTAGACAGATCCTCAATGGAAAGTAGGCCGGTTGCCATTGTTTTAGATTTGGAGGTAACAAATATTACTGACACCTAAACCAAGAAATGGACGCGTACAAAGCATCCACATAGTCACTAAATAGAGACATGAAGACACTCTCCAGATTTCCTGTCATTTCCTATTACAGTCCAGCTGGTCCTACAAGAACCTTAATCAACGATTGTTCAAGAGAAATCCTGGTTCACACAGACCATGGCCAGAATGTCTCCAGGAAATTAGCTGAATTAGAGAGCTAGTCCCTCAATGACCTAACTACTTGTAGACTCATCAGAAACATGTTTTGTCTGCGTTCTCTCAGTCACGATGACTAAGCCCTCATGGAAGAATTAGGAACTTATAGCTTCAGATCGGGAAGAATGAAATGGAATTGCTGAATGTGGGAAAAGCTGATTCCTCCGTGTGGTCATAGGAAACCTCAAGACACTGAACAGCCTTCCCCAAATTTCCAGCCAGCTTGACCATTTAAGGCCTAGATAAGAAGACGCTCAAAGACAAGTTCTCGGCAAAATTTCTAAAAGAAGAACGGACACATAGAGAGGAGGTTCAGGTGGGCATCATCTGACCGTTCAAGAAGATGGAAGACTTCCCAGAAGAACAAGAGAAGACTGTACAGTATGTGCTTCTCAAGATAGAAGCCATCTCCAATGTAAGGAATAAGAGACAATGTAGATCCCTAGAAGATGTTGGTCCCAATCAAACAGAATATAGGTAGCTCAGGGTTGACCTGGGGTATCCTGGGTGCTCTCTGAGCGTGGTGGGTTTCTTGCAGATGTTTCATGACCCAACTAGGGAACATCATCAGTGCTAGTGAGGGTGGCCTGCTCCCTGTTTATATACAGTAGTTCTGAGCTTGGTGGTCTTCTTGCAGATGATTTGACTGAAATGGTATAGGCAGCAGTGGCATTCAAATATGTGAACAACTGGTTCTCTGTGTGGATGCCGCTTCCAGAAGTCCATTTTGGACCCGGGCAACAAAAAATTAGCTACCGATTCTGCCAAAGTGGTGCAACCCGGCTGAATCCCACCACTGGGTATGGGGTTTCGTACCTGAGCAAGGGGTTGGACTAAAAGACCTCCAAGATCCCTTCCAACTCTATTATTCTATTCTATTCTATTCTATTCTATTCTATTCTATTCTATTCTATTCTATTCTATTCTATTCTATTCTATTCTATTCTGCTCTACTCTACTCTATTTTACCCAACTAGGAAACATCCATATGTAATGGAGGAGTAATGAAACACCTACAAGAATACCATCAAGCTCAGAGAGCACCCCATAGATGATAGTCCTTCCAATAAAGTCATCTAAGTATCTGGACTGAAAGAGTCCTAGAAAGGAAGATGATCCAAAACAAGAAGAGGGACAAATCCAGGATTGGTTCTCCACTCACACCTTGATCCAGTTTGGCAGAAAACCTCAACGTGCTTCTAGAAGGCACCGAGAAGACTGGAAGACGCCAGAGTAGATCACGTAGTTCCTTCCTCCGATCTGATACGATCTACATTGGCAGCTGCTCTCTTTCTCCCTCAATTACATGGAACGAATCTTTCCTTAGAATCTCAAGTGGGAGGGAAGAAGGGATTTAACAGAGATTAAGTCACTGGCCTGAGAAAAGACACACACAATTCCGTTCCAAATCACTCATTCACCAACTCCCTTAGGCTAGTTCTAGATCAATTTCTCCAAGATAAGAATTTGGGGATAGAGAGAGAGAAAAAGACAGGGAACCCTAGGCTGGAATCTAGGGACAGAATATGCTAGATCTTACGAATTCATTTCAGAGTTGCTTGTTCCAGCTTGGAAACAAATTCAGTCCAAATCTTGGATTCAACGTCCCCAAGCAAAACATTCCTGCCAATTCATACAGAAGGAAGATGCTATATCTATTTTCTTCTCCTCTGAATTGCAAAAGAAGAACTGTGCTTTCCCAGCACTGATTCACAGATGGAGGGTTCGTGTATTTATTTAGGTACTGTTTTTTTTGGGTGGTTGTTTTTTTTTTTCTTACTTTCTTTCATTCCTTCAACCAAATTCTTGGGAGTTCCTGCTAGAGAATTCTCATGAATTGCTGCAGGAAACCTGCCACTAGGCTGGGCCCCAGATGACAGAGGGAGTATTAAAAAAAAAAAAAAAAAAGTACTTTCTGTTCAAAAGATCATGATCTAAAAGCTGAGTCATGGGTGAAACAGCTGACCGAAATGAAAAATCAACACTGTCAAAAAGATTGAGCCTCGTCGCATCAGAAACTGGAGCCAAACATTCAGAATTTTATTTTTTTTTTAAAAAAAAAAGAAGTTGAATCGCTGGAGTGCAATGGAAGTCCGTTCCATTAATAATGGGGTTTTCTCTCTCGTATTCACATGGATTTGGAAATCTTCTTAAGGTTTCCAATATCTGCCAATGTCTCAGGGGCTGCCCCAAAGAAGAGGGAGTCAAGCTATTCTCCAAAGCGCCTGAAGGCAGGACAAGAAGCAACGGATGGAAACTAATGAAGGAGAGAAGCAACCTGGAACTAAGGAGAAACTTCCTGACAGTGAGGACAATTAACCAGTGGAACAACCTGCCTCCAGAAGCAGTGAATGCTCCAACACTGGAAGTTTTTAAGAAGAGACTGGACAGCCATTTTTCCAAAATGGGATGGGGTTTCCTTCCTGAGCAGGGGGTTGGACTAGAAGACCTCCAAGGTCCCTTCCATCTATTCTATTCTATTCTATTCCATTCCATTCCTTTCCATATATTCTATTCTATTCTATTCTATTCTATTCTATTCTATTCTATTCCATTCTATTCTATTCTATTCTATTCTCTATTCCATTCCATATATTCTATTCTATTCTATTCTATTCTATTCTATTCTATTCTCTATTCCATTCCATTCCATATTCTATTCTATTCTATTCTATTCTATTCTATTCTATTCTATTCTATTCTATTCTATTCTATTCTATTCTATTCTATTCTATTCTATTCTATTCCATCCCATTCCATTCTATTCTATTCTATTCCCTATTCCATTCCATTCCATTCCAAAGGTCTCCAAAGTTTACATTTCATGGATGTCCAGAAGATAGAGTTATCCCCCCCAGGGTCTAGAATGAGGCAGGGTCTGCTGCTCAAGCAAAGCTTTTGACTAGAAGACCTCCAACATTCCTTCCAATTCAGTTATTCTGTAATTCTGCAATTCAATCTGCAAGATGTGCCATACAATGGTTTCTAGAAGCTCGTGATGGTGTTTGAAGGATGTTTGGAGAAGGTCCCCTGAAGCAGAAGTGAAAATCATGTTGGACACCCCTCACCAAGATCCTGAAGCCACGTCTACTCTTTCCTGTCTACTGAAGACACGGAAATGGCTGTTTTCTTGATGAGTTTAGATCTATCCTAGACACTGTACCCATACGTCACATTAAAAATGGTGAAATAAGAGAGACCTACTTACTCATGTCTCAGACTTAATTATTACTTGGCTCCTATTCTTTCACATCCATGTGGTTGTCTAGAAACCAAGTACAACATCATAGTACAACCTCTCCCAGCCAGGAACGCCCCAAAGTTTTAATTTCTTTCCCCGTTTTTTTTTTTTTTAAACGGGAACTAACCCAAAGTACACTTCCACAAGTAATAGGCAAAATGAGAAGCCATTGTCTTCGGCTTGCGCACATTTTCTGCTAAGAGTTCTTGACTAAAAAATAAATAAAAATCTACTATGGTGGGAGCTTTCCAACGAACGAACACGCTTGAAAGATCAAATGTATATGGAGATCTGTAGGCTAGCCTAAAAAAGTCAATCAAAATGTAGATTTGGAAGAAACGGGAAGAGAAAGGCAGAAAAGATATAAAAATAAATGTGTCGTGCAAAGGAGCACAAACAAGACTGACGTGAGGTGGAAAACAGGCTCCAACATTTGATTCCGCCCCCTCGCCTTCAGCTGCATAATTTGACTCCTGTCTCCACCGCTCTGCTTATCCATTCATCACCCCAAACCACAGCGAGCAAAACAGAAATTATGTTTTGTAAACCATGGGCCTCACTGCCAACGTGCCAGGCCAAGCCTGGCAGCCGTTCGGTTCCCCTGTCACAAGGAAACTCTGTGCCTTGAGCCCAGTGGGAGAAACCAGAAACGCGCGCGGATCTCCAGGGCTGAAGAGCTCCAGATGAAGTTGTGGTTCCTCAAAAAAGCGCCAGAGGACCGATGGTCCATTCTGAACTCCTCCGTAAATACGCAGTGGTGAGGACGAGAGACAAGGAAGAACGGAGCTCCCTTCCTTGCTACAAAGAAATGGCCAAAAAAAAACCCAAAACCAAAGTCTCTTTTCCCCGGCACGATGTGTTACACTTTTGGCGGGCTTCACAATTATTTTCTTGGAAAGTCAGATTAGTTCATACTCATGGCACACAAAACGCAGCTGATTATGGGGTGGGGGGGAAAGCCTCAATGCTCAGCAACATTGAAAAGCTGGCTCACTTCAATTTAATACAGAGGGAATGGGGAAACTGGGTTCCCTTGCAGCGAGATTAGGCGAAACCTGGAGGTTTATGGTCTTCAAAGAAAAAAACAAAGGAAGTCCAGTTGCCTCCTGAAAAAGCACCCTTGGGACAACCTGGAGGGCTGAGAATCTCCATAGACATTCAGCTGTGCACTTTGGGATGAACCCCCTTCGAAGGGGGAGGGAGGATGAATGGATTTCCAGAAAACTTTGCAGGAACTGTTTGCGCTTCAGTTTGAGATGTAGACAACATAGACTCTTCCCCAACAGCCTGCGCCCGTCTTCAACAAGGAAGGGACCCAGGGCAGTAAACATCCTGCAGCCAAGAAGGCTCCACACCCATTTGCACCGCTCAGGTGACCCTGAGGACACAGATAAGCCTCCAAGTGGCCTCCAGGACTCTCTAAAAGAAGACAAATGACCGGCTGTTTGCAAGGAGTATAAATCCTTCCATTCCCCACCATCCGGTCAGAGCTGAAGAAGCTCCTGGGATGAGAAGCGAAGCATCTTCAAAGAAAAACAAGAATAGAATAGAATAGAATAGAATAGAATAGAATAGAATAGAATAGAATAGAATAGAATAGAATAGAATAGAATGGAATGGAATGGAATGGAATGGAATGGAATGGAATGGAATAGAATAGAGAATGGAATAGAGAATGGAATAGAGAATGGAATAGAGAATGTAATGTAATGTAACGTAATATAATGTAATGTAATAGAATAGAATAGAATAACTAGAAAGAATAGAATAAAATAGAATATAGAATAGAATTTATAATAGAATAGGACAGAACAGAACAGAATAGAATAGAACAGAACAGAATAGAATAATTAGAAAGAATAGAATAAAATAGAATATAGAATAAAATTTATAATAGAATAGGACAAAACAGAACAGAATAGAATAATAAGAATAGAATAGAATAGAATAGAATAGAATAGAGAATTAAGAATAGAATAGAATAGAATAGAATAGAATAGAATAGAATAGAATAGAATAGAACAGAACAGAACAGAACAGAACAGAACAGAATAGAATAGAATAGGACGGTATGGAATGGAATGGAATGGAACGGAACAGAACAGAACAGAATAGATTGGCCAAGTGTGATTGGAGACACAAGGAATTTGTCTCACACAGCATAGCATCTCCACCAACAGTCAATGTGAGTCCAACAAGGCGGAAGAGACATCAACCAACTTTTCATACTTACTCGGATGCCCGGGGTTCCAGGAACGCCAGGGGGGCCTTCTTTTCCTTGGTCCCCTCCTTGCCCTTTGTCCCCACGTTCCCCTTCTGGGCCTGGTTGCCCTTTGTCTCCCTGAAAGAGAGAAATGGGTAACACGCTTTTCCGTTTGTTCAGGAAGAAGGATGGCAGCCACTGCACAATCTCACAGCTTTTCTCTGCCTCTGCATTCACCACTTTCTCCTCTGCTTGTGTGTCGAAATACAAGAAGGATTGTCTGAAACAGGGAAGTCTTACAAAAGATAAATCAATCAAAAAAAAATCAAAGAAGATTTGACCGCTGGGTCTACAGACTCATCCAAATGGAACAGTGAAAAAACTCCCTGCACGTTTTCTTTTTTAAAAAGGTACAAATAGTTAGAACTTTGCTCTCCTTGAGATGCAAGTTTTTCTACCTGCAGGGACCTCCACAGATGAAATCCATCTAAAGTGAAGGAAAAAAAGAAGAAGAAGAAAAAGAAAGCAAAAATAAAGAGACTTCTCTTAAAAAGAGATTCTTCTTGGTCTAATCTTGAGTGATTCTACAGCAGAATACCTGCCTGGAGTGACAATTACAGGAGGATTTTTTAAAATATATATATAGAGAGAGCAGGATGTTATAGATGGACTTTTTATTTCCTCCTGGAATGGAAAAACTGGATTCTGGTAATCTCAGAGTCCAATGAAAAAGGAAACAGAGCAATAAATAAACAGGCCTTCTAGAGGGAACTTTTCTAAGAGGGTTTTTTTTTTCAGATTTATCCTAGAGAAGAAGACCTTGGGGAAGTGAGAGTCAGAGAAACAAGATCAGGTTCTAAACAAACCAGAAGAAGAAAACCAAGATACCTTGAGTCCATCTGGTCCTGCTGAGCCACTGTCTCCTTCAAGGCCAGGTTCTCCCTTATAAGAAACATGGAAAGATCTTTAGAACTTCTAGGTTGGTTAGTTAGTTCCTTCTACCTTTGCTGTACACCCAAATTAATGTCCTTTGAATGAGCTTTATTTATTTCAGAGCCTAATGATGGCATTAGAAGGGGCCAACGTTTACAGCAAGACTTGATCTCACCTCTTGACGTTCCCACCATTAGAGAACTTCAAAATTCACCATGAGCAAATCCCAACCTTCCATTTGGAACCTGCTGATGCTCAAAATGAACCTTCCTTCAGTGTCGAGAAAAAAAAAAGTCTTGACCTGCCCACAGGATGAAATCCAATTTGGCAGAAGCAAGGACTTCAGAACAAATTGAAGAGACTCTAGGGAGCTCCGAGTTGAACTGTGGATCCTTGGTGCTCTCTGAGTTTGGTGGTTTCCTTGTAGACGTTTCATTACCCAACTAGGCAACATCATCATCATCCCTGGGAGCAAACCCCACATTCAACAATAAAGATGATGTTACCTAGTAAGGTAGTGAAACATTTGCAAGCAAACCACCAAGCTTAGAGAGCACCAAGGACTCCATAGTTCTTTTGGAACCATCCTAAAATCCACATATCTTATTGGGACAATAAATGTCAACATGTCCATGCAACTAGAGGGAGAGGATCATGGATAGTTTGTACTTACCCGTTGGCCAACCAATCCTTGCTCTCCAGGAATCCCCAGTGGACCAAGATCACCCTAAGGAACAGTAAGAAGAGAAGAGATTTTTTTGAAGCTACCTTTAAAGACATATTAAGAAGAGGTAGGAACATGTATGAAGAACAATGTATGAAGAAGGATATCAGAAAGTCAGATTTTTGGCATAAGAAGTGGGGCTTATAATACAAAGGGTAGAATCTATAAGATAATGTTCCAGCCTATAATATAAGGGATGCAGCTGATAGTCTAAAAAGGCAAATAAAAAAGTCAACACAATCCTAAGCTGCATTAACAAAGGGATTCAATCAAGATCATGTGAGGTACTAATGCCACTCTATAAAGCCTTGGCAAGACCACACCTAGAATACTGCAACCAGTTTTAGTCACCACACTATAAAAAAGACCATGAGACTCTAGGAAAAAGTGCAGAGAAAAGCAACAAAGATGATGAGGGGATTGGAGGCTAAAACTTATGAAGAACGGTTGCAGGAATTGGGCATGGCTAGTCTAGTGAAGAGAAGGACCCCACAATCTTAAAAGCAAAGATACACCTGCTCATATCGCAACAAATAAGAACTGAAAACTGATTTGGAGGTTGCAATAGGAGAAAAAAAAACATCATACTGTAAGTTAAATGCAGAAATAAATAAAGCTCATTCAAAGGAAATTAACGGAGCAGACGGCAATTCTGGGAAGGCAGAAGGAACCATCTGACGAAAAGAGAAGTTGTGAACTTCATGGAAGATGTAAATTTGGATTGTTTGCTTCAATGCTGTCTTTTAAGAGGTTTCCCCCCCCCCTCCAAAATGCAGTTCCTTGAAGGAGCAGCTGTACCACTTATCCTAACCGTGGGCACACATGATTTTTAGAAGGAAGGCTGAAGACTTCTCCCAAAGATGGAAAAAAACACGCTTCCTGTTTGAAACATGAGCTAGCTCTCCAGGAGTCTGTCTGTTGGAGGAGCTGGAAAGCCAGGCAAATAAAGGGGGGGGGGTATTCCTGAGAGGGTAAAATGAGGGGGTGGCTAAACATTATGCAGGACCAATAGAGCTGAAAAAAGAGACAGAGAGAGACCCTCAAAAGGTCCAGCAATGACTTGGGAGGCTTTCCAAAGCAAACAGACCACTTGGAGGAGAAAAGCACAAGAAGCTGGAAGGAAGTGGAATTTAATTGATTGGAATGGAATGGAATGGAATATATAATGATATGGAATGGAATGGAATATGGAATGGAATATAGAATGGAATGGAATATGGAATAGAATAGAGTAAAGTAGAGTAGAGTAGAGTAGAGTAGATTAGGCTAGGCTAGACTAGACTAGACTAGAATAGAATAGAATAGAACAGAATAGGAGTAGAATAGAATAGAATAGAATAGAATAGAATAGAATAGAATAGAATAGAATAGAATAGAATAGAATAGAATATGGAATGGAAGGGAAAGGAAGGGAATCTCATAACTGAACTGCAAAGTGTGATCTTTCTACCCTTTCTCCATGCCTCTCTCCCTTCCATTCATCCTTCCATCCATCCATTCATTCTTCTTTCCTCCCTCCCTTCAAAAATTGTGGGCACTCCATCACTGGAGATTTTTAAGAAGAGACTGGACAGTCACTTATCTGTGACAATAGGTTCTCCTCCTTGAGCAGCGGGCTGGACTGGAAGACCTCCAAGGTCCCTATTGCAGCTCTATCCTATCCTATCCTATCCTATCCTATCCTTTTCTTTTTTTCCTTCCTTCCTTCCTTCCTTCCTTCCTTCCTTCCTTCCTTCCTTCCTTCCTTCCTTCCTTCCTTCCCATCCCTGATTTATGTCAAAAATGATCAAACTCTTGGATCAGATCTTGGCTCATAAACCCCACGGAGCCCCTTCCTCTGCCTTCATACAGCCATGACCTGGGTCATCAACCACAACATATTCAGCAGCATCATAAGAGAGACAGAGTCTTGGTTCACCTAAAGAGAAGGGAAGTTCTTCTCTCTCCCTTACCTTCATCCCAGTTTCTCCTGGAAGTCCTCGCTGTCCTGGTGCACCAGGAGGTCCCTTAAAGAGGAGGGGGGAAAAATAAATAGGAAAGAAGACCCAACACAGAACACGTTGGAGAGGATCAATGAGACTGCTTCTTTTTACCCAGAATTCAGAGGGAAATAGCTGAATAGTAAACCTTTCATTTCCAAAATCACAATCAGGTGTTTTTTTTTTAATGATGGTCTTCTGCTCTTGATATCAACCATCTTCTGTCTGCCCTGACTTTCTAATACAGGATGCATCTCCCAGTTTGGGTTTTTTGAGGATTCCCAACAGCTGGATAGATTCCAGGAAATTCAAAGAGCATTATCCAAAAAAACAAAAAGGAGGTGGAAATCACATCCTACCTTATGTCCAATTTCTCCCAAAAGGCCCGGTGGTCCTGGTGGGCCTTGAGGTCCCTGAAAAGACAGGCCCACAGAGTTAAGGACATGCACAGCCTTCTCCTCAACCAGACCAGGAATCTTAAACGGGACGGACACAGATTGCCCAGAGATGCCACATGCACAGAATCATTTCTGACTGTCCCTCCAAGGTTTTCAATCAAGTCGCAATTTCTGTTTTATCACAAGGACCGTCTTTCCTTCATTTGCTTTTCATCAGATTAAATCAAATGCAGGTGCTGGGTCCAACTCTGGCGTCTTCAGAGCAGACCTCATTTTGGCCAAAGTGTCAAGGGAAGGGACCAAGGCAAAGGACCAAGATCACGCGAAGTAATTAGTACCGCTCTGTAAAACCCTAGCGAGAGCACACTCGGAAGACTGCAGCCAATTTGGGTCACCCTATCAACAAAAAAGAGGTTGAGAGTTTGGAAAAAAAAATCAGAAAAGAGCAACTAAGGTGATCCAAGGCCTGGAGACTAAAACATACGAAGAACGGCTGTGGGACTTGGGTTTGGCTAGTCTAAAGAAAAGAAGAAATAGGAGAGACATGATAGCACTATTCCAGTATTTGAGGGGCTGCCACAAAGAAGAGGGGGGGTCACGTTATTCAACAAAGCACCAGAGGGAAGGACGAGAAACAATGGTTGGAAACTGACCAAGGAGAGTAGCAACCTGGAATTAAGGAGAAACCTCCTGACAGTGAGACAATTAACCAGTGGAACAGCTTGCCTCCAGAAATGGTGGGTGCTCCATCACTGGAGATTTTTAAGAAGAGGCTAGACAGTCACTTGTTTGGGATGGTATAGGTTCTCCTGCTTGAGCAGTGGGCTGGAGTAGAAGACCTTGAAGGTCCCATCCAGCTCTATTCTATTCTATTCTTCTATTTCTATTTCTATTCTATCTATTCTATTCTATTATTCTATTCTATTCTATATTCTATTCTTCTATTCTATTCTATATTCTATTCTAGTCTATTCTATTCTATATTCTATTCTATTCTATTCTATTCTTCTATTCTATTCTATTCTATTCTATTATTCTATTCTATTCTATTCTATTCTATATTCTATATTCTATTCTATTCTGTTCTATTCTATATTCTATTCTATTCCTTTTCTCTATTCTATTCTATTCTATTCTAATGCTGGGTCTCCTTTGAAGAATACTCTCTCCCCAAGCTGCTCAGACAGGAATAATGAAAAGTGGGGTTGAAGAGTGGACAGGGGTGGAGACCAAAGTAGAGGTTCATTTGTGGTACTTGCCAAATCTCCAGGAGGCCCTTTCGCTCCTTGTGGTCCAGAAGGTCCTTGGATGCCCTACAATGAAACAAGCCAATGAACAGCCCAAGCTCTAAATGAGAGGCAATTTCTCTCCTAAATTTAATTGCCCTTCCAATTTTTCCTCTTCTTTAAATTAAGTAATTCAGTTTTATAACTGAGCAGGAGGGAGGTTAAAAACAAAAACAAACAAACAAAAAAAAAACAATGACTTTTTCAACCCACCGGTACCATTACCAACAATGCATGAAAGTTAATTATATCAGGGAAATTTGCTTTTGAAATCCTTGAGCGTTAAGGCAAAACCGACGGGAGGAAAGTATACCAAGCTTAGTGAGAACTTTAAAAATAAAATAAAATTAAATAAAATAAAATTAAATAAATAAAATAAAATAAAATGAAACAGGATCGCCAACAGGATCACCAACATCCGATAACGGAAATGGCAGAAGAAGAAGAAGGAGAAGAAGAAGAAGAAGGAGAAGGAGAAGGAGGAGAAGGGGAAGAGGAAGAGGAAGAGGAAGAAGAAGAAGAGGAAGGAGAAGGAGAAGAAGAAGAAGAAGAGGAAGGAGAAGGAGAAGGAGAAGAAGAAGAAGGGGAAGAAGAAGGAGAAGGAGAAGGAGAAGAAGAAGAAGGGGAAGGGGAAGGGGAAGAAGATAAAATAATAAAATAAAATAATAAAATAAAATAAATAAAATAAAATAAAATAATACAGAAGTGGGATGAACGAAGGTGAAAAATCAGAAATCAAGACCCAAGGGAAGAAAAAAAAAAGGGAGAAAAATTAGAAAAATTAAAGGAGGGGGAAAAAAACACTCTCCTTTATTCAACTTTATTAGCCTGGCTCAACCTCCATAAATGGTAGAAATAATCTCCTATGGATTCTCTCCACTAGTGTCTCTGATAAAATATTAATTCTTTTTGTTATGAAGCAAGGTAGATGGACTTACAGGGAAGCCACGAGTTCCAATCTCTCCCATTTCTCCAATCTTTCCCTGCAAAGACAAAGACTTGAATTCAGAGTGAGGTTCGGAGCGACTTCTGCAAACGGATCGCAAACGTCTCAAACAGTTTTAGATTCCTTCAAGAATGCCGAATGTACCTCTTGACCGTCCAGTCCTGGTTTACCTGGATCACCTGGGTGGCCCTGTGAATAAGATCATAACAAAAGGGAGAGGTTTTTTTTAAAAAAAAATATATGCTAGAAAAATTCATTTTTCTTCATTTTCCCCATCTGGCCATTTACAAGTTACAAGCCTTATATTGCTTTCTCCCAAGAACATAGGGGGGGAAAAAAATCCACTCTACAATTAAAGGCGACGGGGGAGGAAAGGGACACGTGGTGGAATTCTCCAAGTTGACCAAAGTCTAAAGGATATTAAATTTAATATCCAGAACCCTCTTCCTGCAAAAAAATAAATAAATAAATAAAAATCCTGTGTGCAAAAAAAAAACAACCCCTAGAACAATATGGAGATGGGTTCTGGGCCAGTTTTCTAATGGACCATGAAGAGAAATGGGAAGCTGCGTTGAGAATATGGGCCGGGCTGTGCTCAGTCTGTGTGGAAGGAAATACTAAATCTCAGTCTATGTATTTGGCAAGGAAGAAAAACTTCCCAACTCTCTTTCTCCTGTAGAAGAATCAAGAATGCTATTCCTGTCCTGTAGGGCTCGGTAGCGCACTGATTCTGTTAAATGGGAATATTAAGGAGAAACTAAAAATTGGGCAAAAATTAATAACAGGTTATGGATCGTTTATGAAGACTGAATGTAATTAAGATATGTATAAGCCAAACATGGATTGATATATGTGATAATGGTGTTTTTATTGAGTGGATATAACTAGAATTGTACTAGCTTGAATACAAGACAGTAAATGTTATGGGAAAAAGAGAAGAAATATATAATAACAACAACAACAACAATAATAACAATAATAAAGTTGGAAGGGACCTTGGAGGTCATCGAGTCCAACCCCTGCTCAGGCAGGAAACCCTACACCATTTCGGACAAATGGCTGTCCGGTCTCTTCTTAAAAACTTCCTGTGTTGGAGCATTCACTGATTTTGGAGGCAGGTTGTTCCACTGATTAATTGTTCTAACTGTCAGGAAGTTTCTCCTTAGTTCCAGGTTGCTTCTCTCCTTGATTAGTTTCCACCCGTTGTTTCTTGTCCTGCCTTCAGGCGCCTTGGAGAATAGCTTGACTCCCTCTTCTTTGGCGCAGCCCCCGAGATACTGGAACACTGCTATTCTGTCCCCCCTTGTCCTTCTCTTCGTTAAATTAGACATATCCAATTCCAGCAACCGTTCCTTATATGTTTTAGCCTCCAGTCCCCTAATCATCTTTGTTGCTCTTCTCTGTACTCTTTAATCTAGAGTCTCAGCATCTTTTTTACATCGTGGTGACCAAAACTGGATGCAGGATTCCAAGTGTGGCCTTACCAAGGCATTGTAAAGTGGTATTAACACTTCACGTGGTCTTGATTCTATCTGATGTTGTAACCTGAGATTTGCACTAAAGATTTTGTTATCGAACTGTTGATTAACCCAGTCACCACGTTGCTTTCTAAATACTTAAATGTAAAACTGGAAAATTAATAAAATGTTATATAGATAGATAGATAGATAGATAGATAGATAGATAGATAGATAGATAGATAGATATAGAGATATAGATAGATAGATAGATAGATAGATATAGATAGATAGATAGATAGATATAGAGATATAGATAGATAGATAGATAGATAGATAGATAGATAGATAGATAGAGATAGATAGATAGATAGATAGATAGATAGATAGATAGATAGGTAGATAGATAGATATAAAGAATGTTATTCCTGTCCTGTAGGGCTTTCTGGCACACTGGAGGTGATGCTCCATCACTGGAGCCTTTCAGAAATAGACAACCATTTGGCCAAGATAGTATAAGGTCACGTGGCTTGAGCAGGGGGTTGGCCTAGAAAACCTTTGAAGTCTCTTCCAGCCCTATGATTCTATGTCCACCTCCATTGGTCCCTTCCAGCTCTGTTTCTATTCTAATTAAAGAGAGAATCAACGGAGAGCTAAGGAGAAATCTCCTGACAGAATGGTAGGAGCAGCAGAGACACTTGATGTTCACGCTTCCCGTGCCTGATTCCTGTGGTCTGGCACAGAACCACGGGAAAAGGTCCAGTCTCTGCCTTCCAGGACTGCAACGGGCCAACTCTGGCACGTGTCCAAGACTGACTCTGCATTTTTGATTGCCGGAGGCAATGCCTTACCTTGGATCCCTGGGGTCCCGCTTCGCCTGGTGTTCCATCGGGACCTCGAGCGCCCTTGGAGAGATGGAAAAAAGCACACCCAGGTCACAAATATGAACGCACCCTTTACATGCCAGAAAGAAGAAGAAGAAGAAGAAAAAAGAAGAGCAAAGAGGGTCTAAAAAAAGGTACATGTCTGATGCTAAGCATCTAATCCAGGTTGTTAATTAGCTATGTTAGTGTATACCTTCAGTTGGCTGCAGTGCAATAACTCTTCAATATCACCCAAAGGAAGATTTTCATCTCTTTTCCCATTTTGAGTGGGTCTAGAAAGCTGCCACGTTTTAGAGTTATATGGAGCCCACCAGAATCTTAACCCATTTATTTTATATTGACAACCTCTGTTGCTGAATTTGGGGAGCCCCCCCCATTTCAAAGGCACCTGCAGCCCTCATTTTTCCTTCTGTGTATTCATTTAGTATTCCACCTCTCTCCTGTGCTCCCATGATGGAAGCTGATGTCTCCCTTCTTGGCTGTGTGAGGTGAGGGAGAAGAACAATCCACCATCCTGGTCAAGAAGGGCTTTGAATCCGGACACCCCAAAAGTCCAAATGTTTAGCCACGACGCTACCCAAAGAAAAAGAAATGTGGGGATATCAGTTCTTATCATTTGAAGAACTTCTGAACCTCTCCCATGGAACGTTTCTGAGACAGGGTCTTCTTCCCAGATGGCCCCATTCCTGGGAGAAGGCATCTCAGCAAGCTTTTAGAACCTGGCTAATTATTAAGGTACAGATTGGTCAGGAGCGAAGGAGGAAACAGCACCAGGTTTCAAATTTGGTGTCAAACCATGATCCATGATCTGAACATCAATGTTCGACGAGAGAGAGAGAGAGAGAGAGAGAGAGAGAGAAAGATGGGAGAGACAGAGGGAGAGAGAAAGAGAGAGAGGGTTGGAAAAAGAGGGAGGGAGAGAGAGAGAGAGAAAGAGAGAGGGAAGGAAGGAAAGAGAGATGGGAGAGGCAGGGAGAAAGAAAGAGAGAGAGAGAGAGAGAAAGAGATGGGAGAGACAGAGGGAGAGAGAAAGAGAGAGAAGGAGAAGGAGAGAGAGGGAGAGATGGGAGAGGGAGAAAGAGAGGAGGGAGAAGGGAGAGAGGGAGAGAGAGAGAGAGAGAGAGACAGACAGACAGACAGAGACAGATAGGTTTACGATATTGGAGAAGAACACCAGTCTGCTAAAACAAGCAAAACTCTGACCCATAGGTCCATTTTGGGGGGGGGGAGAGAAACCTCCTGCCTCTCATCTCGCCTTTTCCTTTTCATTTTCTCCTTGATACCGTATATATTTCTTCATCCGGTCAAGAGCTCAACGGCAGAAATGTCAAATTATACACCAAGAGCTCCCTTAATGCAGGGCAAGGCTGAAGGGACAGGAGAAGAGATGACCCAGAGCCAGGGGGATGGATGGCTGTTATTAAAGCAGGAAAGGATCACCAGGTTGGGGACAGATCCTCTATCAGGGCGGCCACTAAGAGATGGCCTTCCTTTGACGGCGTGGGGAACCACCCAGAAGAGGAAAGGGACGCCAGCAGAAGCAAGTCACGCCAAACGCTTCCTTCACCCTGTCTTCTCCACGGGTTCCAAACTGCACAAAAGCAACAAGAAGAGCATCTCCCCGATTCCAGGAAGGTCTTCGGCTTATCTGATTTCTGTCAGCTTTGACAAGTTTTTCTCATCCTGCCAGCAGCAGAGGAACCCAGGTTTCCATCCAGCCAGGGAAACCTGATCCTGCAAGAACCCTGCGACATTTTCCAGGCACATGGATTTAATCGGGCAGAGGCCATGCCGCCGTGTAAGCAAAGACCCCCATGTTGAAGGATGCACAACATTTCGCATGTGGTGAGGATTAATGGAGGGGAGAGATTAAAATCATTGCACCAAAAAGAGAAAGAAGGAAAGAAAGAAAGAAAGAAAGAAAGAAAGAAAGAAAGGAAGGAAGGAAGGAAGGAAGGAAGGAAGGAAGGAAGGAAGGAAGGAAGGAAGGAAGGAAGGAAGGAAGGAAGGAAGGAAGGAAAGGAAAAAAACAGGGGCTCATTACAAACAACAACGAACACCCCTCCCTGGTGCAAACATTCAAGTTCCGTCTTTGTTACGGCAGGAAGAATGATTTAAAACGTCTGTTTTTAGTTTGGGGTTTGGGTGTTTTCTACCCCCCCTCCCCGCACACACACACACACACACACACACACACCAGTAGTTTGACATGGAGTTCTTTTCCATCCCAACACTATAATTGCTAAATTTGAGACCCTCATAAATCACACCGGGGCTTCTGAATCAGAACCAGGATCTGAGTCATCCCCTTGTGCTCTGCGACAACGGCAGCAGAGAAGAAAGAGAGAGAGAGAGAGAGAGAGAGAGAGAGAGAGAGAGAGAGAGAGAGAGAGAGCAGGGTGAGGGAAGGCTTTCCATTCTGCCTTGAATTATGTTTTTGGATGGGAGATCAGATGCAGAGAGCAGCAGACGATTAAGCTGGGGGGGCTTCTTTCTTCAAAAACTTAACAAAACCAAAAAAAGAGGAGAGGGAGGGGAGAGCAATGTCAATACAATTAAGGACTTGTTCTCATGAAACAATTACTAAACAATGGGATTAAAAGAGCTCTTTGGGTATCCATTGGGGAAAAACATGTATGCAATTCTTTTCTTCCAGTGACAAGTCAATCAGAATAGAATGGAATGAAATGGAATAGAATAGAATAGAAATACAATAAGAATAGAATAGAATAGAATAGAATAGAATAGAATAGAATAGAATAGAATAGAATAGAAATACAATAAGAATAGAATAGAATAGAATAGAATAGAATAGAATAGAATAGAATAGAATAGAATAGAATAGAATGGAATGGAATGGAATGGAATAGAATACAATAGAATAGAATAGAGCTGGAAGGGACCTTGGAGGTCTTCTAGTCCAACCCCCTCCTCAGGTAGGAGACCCTCTAGCATTTTGGACAAGTGAATGTCCAGTCTCTTCTTAAAAACCTCCAGTGATGGAGCATCCACGATTTCTGGTGGCAAGCTGTTCCACTAGTTAATTGTCCTCGCTGTTAGGAAGTTTATTAATCCCAGGTTGCTTCTCTCCTTGGTTAGTTTCCATCCGTTGTTGAGTGGAATAAGTTGGAATTATCTCAAATTGGAGGGTTCCATCTTGCCTCCTGCCCTCTTACCCACAATGCCCTGAAGGACACAGGGACTTGTGGGAAATATAGAGGGTGACTTCAAAGAAGGGAAATTGTTAATTTTTTTCCTTATTTTGTCGAGTTCAGGGATGATCTGTAGGGAACCCAGTTCCTGAAAAGGGCAGGGATTGGTTAAAAAGTCACAATTTGTCTGTTTTTCCGCCGACATGGAAAGCCATAAATAAACCCTTCATGGTCTGTGGATAATCCAGCAATTTAAGAAACTCTCATGGAGATAATCCCTTCCAATTCTGTCATTCTATAATTCTGTTAGGGTCTCCTGCTCAAATCCTTCCCAAGGACCTGGGATAGACAGATGTGGATGTTTGAATTGATGGTATTACAGATCTCATCGCAGGATGGAAGCAGTTCCCAGTAAGGCCGCCTTTTGCAATTGACTAATGGCGAATGTGTCAATGCCGACGGTGTCCAAGTAGTGCTCCAATTGTTTTGGGATTGCGCCCAAGGCGCCTATTACTATTGGAACTACCCTTGCTTGCCTTTGCCACAGTCGTTCTTTTTCTATTTGTAGGTCTTTGTATTTTGTTATCTTCTCCAGTTCTTTCTCGTCTATTCTGCTGTCTCCAGGCACTGCCACGTCCACTATCCAGACTTTTTTGTCTTTCTTATCGACAATTGTTAAATCCAAGGTGTTATGTGGCAGGTGCTTGTCTGTTTGAATTCTAAAGTCCCAGAGCAATTTAATATTTTCATTTTCTACGACTTTCTCTATTTTATGGCCCCCACCAGTTCTTGCCTGCAGGCAAATGATATTTCTTGCAGATCTTCCAATGCCCCATTGTTGCTACTTTGTCATGCCGCTGCTTGTAGTCAGTCTGTGGGTGATCTTCTTGTAGCAGCTCACCAGATGGTCCACTGTTTCCTCAGCTTCTTTGCACAGGCGGCACTTACTGTCTGTTGCTGTCTTCTCAATTTTGACTTTATATGCATTTGTCCTTAAGGCTTGATCTTGTGCAGCCAGAATTAGTCCCTCGGTCTCTTTCTTCAGCTTTCCTACTCTTAGCCATTGCCAGGTCTTGTCATTATCTGCTTTCCCAGCTATTTTTTTTAACATACTTGCATTATTATTATCATCATCATTATTATCATTATTATTTCCATCACTCGTCTCCAAAAAATGGCAGAAAATATCTCAGGAAGTATTTGGTGATGTTTAAGTGGTCTCCTGTAACTGCTCAGGACACCCAAGTTCCTAAAACGACACACTCAAATAAAAAATGAATGTGGAATGAAAGCCAGTGAGGAGCTATCCATAGGCCAGGAAGAGCGAGCCATTCAGAGGAACTCCATGTGAAAAACCCCTGGATATTCCAAAAACTGAAAAGAAGACACCAGTTCCTGATGAGGAACTGGGATGATGGAGGAAGATTTGCAATTATTATTATTGTTTTTGCTGTGTCGTTCAGTCACTAAGTCCAGCTGGTTCGCACCAGTTTGGCAGAACCGGCAGCTAATTTTTTGTTGCCCAGGCCCAGAACGGACTTCCGGAAGCGGCATCCACACAGAGAGCCGGTTGCTCACATATTTGAGTGCCACTGACTAAGTCACGTCTGACTCTTCACAAAAGCACGCCAGGCCTTCTTCTCCTCCACGGTCTCCCGGACTTTGCTCAAATTCACGTCCATTGCCTCGATGACACCGTCCAGCCATCCCTTCCTCTGCCATCCCCTTCTCCTTTCGACTTCCATCTTTCCCAACATCGGGGTCTTTTCCAAGGAGTCCTTTGTTCTCATTTGGTGGCCAAAGCATTTGACCTTGGATCTGCCCTTCCAAAGGACCGTCAGGGTTGGTTACCTTTAGGATTGATCGATTGGATCTCCTTGCAGTCCAAGGGACTCTTCCCATGAGTCTTCTCCAACACCACAAGGCGAAGGCACCAATTCTTCGGCACTCAGCTTTCCTTTTGTGGCCCAATTCCTTCAAAATCATGGACGTTAATTGAAGCCTTTGTAAAGACTGTGGTATATGGAGTTTGGCTGGATGGTGGACGATCTGGCCTCCGTTCAGAAGGGTGAAGGTCTTGGAAAATTGTTTGGTCTGCAACAGAGTCGAGGATCCGAGGTACAGAATGGCAGCGCTTGTTTCAAATCTGGCCCCACGGGAGACCCCCCGCTGGGTCTGATTTCCACCTTAGGAAAACCCAACTTTCCAAAACTTTTGGGGTGAGGTCAGCTGGGAAACGTTGCCACCGGCGCCAGGCTTCAGCTCTGGAGTGCGTTCATCACAAATCTCCTGAAAGGGGAGCCAAGCACGGGAGCTGTATGCAGTAGGGAACGTCTGGCAGAGACGCTGCCGGAAAAAAAACCGCAGTTGCAGTGAAGTTGCTGCTGGAAATACAGACTTGGCACCGGGGGGAAAAAAATTATGAAAAAGGAAGGGGAAAGAGAGAGAGAGAGAGAGCAGGAGCCAAAGAGAAGCTTCCTTCTGGCTCCATTACCTCTTTGTGGTGCAAAATACTGAAGATTTAAGCATCACTGACAGAGATTATTTTGGCTCCGAAAGATTTGCAGAATATTTTTTCCATGAATCCCTTCTGGTGAGATCTGGGTTCCTCTTGTCAACTCATTCCTCCATTATAGCTCTTCCTGCTACAGAGAGTAAGAGTGGAAAGCCCCCAACTACTCAATGCTCTGTTAGTAGGAGGGAAAAAACTGAGCATCTCCCTTTCCTTAAAAAAAAAAAAAAAAAAGATAACTGAGAAACAAGACAGCTGGCTGTGCAGAAGACCCATTCGTCAATCAATTACTTGTCCAGCTTCTGATTGGCTACTGTAGAATCCCAGCCAATCAATCTTTTTTCAACTGGGTGGGCAGAAAGCAAGTTTTGAGCCCAACCAATGGTTATTTCCCTCCTAGTCCTAACAAATAACCAAGAAATAAGACAATTGGCTGCGCCAAAGACCCATCCATCAATCAATCACTTGTCCAGCTTCTTGTTGGCTACTGCAGAATTTCATCCAGCCCATATCTCTTTTCAACTAGCTGGCAGAAAGCATCTTTTAAGCCCAGCCAATGGGTGTTTCTCTCTAGTCCAACCAACGTTTCTCCTTGAACACGTCTAGAACGGTGTTTAATGGAAGACGGACCTCCCCACTAGTAGGGTGAGGTTCAGGCAAGTGGATTTCAAGATCTGGAAGGCCGAAATAAAACATGAAAAGATTTGCACAGTAGCAGTTCCCGCAGCTGGAAAATCATGATTTTTTATCCCTTTAATGGATTTCACTGTGGGTTATTTGAAGCTGCAGTTGTCACCATCTACTCAGGCTTGCAAAGTGAAGGAGAGCTAGAACGAAGAGTTCAGAGCTAAAGACATGGGTCAAAGACACCGTGCGGTGTCTCTACACCGGTGGTTTTTTAATCAATAATCCTAGAAATTGGTTGTGTGGTCCCTTAAGTATCAAGAGGTTCCTAAATTGGCTTTACAATTCTAGTAGAGAAGGCATCAGAAGAGGAGGTTGATGCTTTCTATCTGTTTGTAGGGTAGAATGGTTACTCTTCATGCTTGGTGTTTAGGCTAGCTTAAAGGTAAGCAGTTTCAGTACAGAATATTTAAGAGATTGGCTCTTTTCCTCATTTTTCTTTCTATCTATCTATCTATCTATCTATCTATCTATCTATCTATCTATCTATCTATATACATACCTTGAGTGTTTGGGGTTTTTTTTTAATACATCCTGTCGGCCCAAATATGGGAGAAAGAAATCTTTTTTTTCCTAACATGCACACAGCCCAGGTTCGAATCTCAGAAGGGTATGTCTGGCTGAAGAGAGTTAAGAAGCTCGAAATAGCTATTCCAGTTCTCCCTTTATTCTTTGTTAGCAATCTAAAAAAATGTCTGTGTGTGTGTGTGTGTGTGTGTGTGTGTGTGTGTTTTCTGAGGTTTTCGCGGGTGTTTGTATGTAAATCTTTGGTTATTGGGGTTTTCTCCTGCGTAAAATTGGAAGTGTCTTGGCGACGTTTCGACAAAGTCCCATTCATCATCTTCAGGCTGGTGTTTTCAGCTTCGTGCTTCGAGGAGCAGTGTAGCAACAGCTAAGCAACAGCTAAGCTAAGCAACAGCTTAGCAACAGCTAAGACCACACATTGCTCCTTGAAGCACGAAGCCGAAAACACCAGCCTGAAGATGACGAATGGGACATACATACACACACACACACACACACACCAAACCTTGCTCCATGTGTCACCATTGTGACTGAGGACTTTTGATTATGGTGAGCCCTAAAGGATTGCTCCTGTTCTAAATTCTCTAGAAAATAAAGTAAATTGCACTTACCCGTCGACCTTTTGGTCCTCTTATCCCTGGGGAGCCACGGACTCCTGGGGGGCCCTTGAAAAGGATGAAACAACATTAGAAAATAACTTGGGATTCAGGTCTTCTGAGATGGAATTTTTCGGGTGAGGTTCTCATTCAAGAGGTAACCTCTAGTTGGCAAAGTCGAAAGAAACTAAACAAGCTTTGGGGAAATATGTTGGGCTTTTTCCTTAATAAAAAAAAATAGAATAGAATAGAATAACAAAGTTGGAAGGGACCTTGGAGGTCATCCAGTCCAACCCCTTGCTCAGGCAGGAAACCCTATACCATTTCAGACAAATGGCTGTCCGATCTCTTTTTGAAAACCTCCAGTGTTGGAGCATTCACAACTTCTGGAGGCAACTGATTGTCCTAACTGTCAGGAAATTCCTCCTTAGTTCCAGGTTGCTTCTCTCCTTGATTAGTTTCCATCCCTTGCTTCTTGTCCTGCCTTCAGGAAGTGCTTTGGAGGATAGCTTGACTCCCTCTTCTTTGGGGCAGCCCCTGAGATATTGGAAGACCGCTATCATGTCACCCCTAGTCCTTCTCTTCATTAAACTAGACATACCCAATTCCTGCAGCCATTCTTTATATGTTTTAGCCTCCAGTCCCCTGATCATCTTTGTTGCTCTTCTCTGCACTCTTTCTAGAGTCTCAACATTTTTTTTTTATATCGTGGTAACCAAAACTGCATGCAGGATTCCAGGTGTGGTCTTACTAAGTCTTTATAAAGCGCTACTAATACGGTTTGATGGCAATAATTCCTAAGCCGTGTTCTTCAAGAGTTTGCTCCAAATTATACTGGGCAGATTTTTTTTTCCTCCTTTGAACAAAATTCATGAGTATCGAAAACAGAGTGAGAAGACGACTTTGGGCTGTTGCAAAGGGGGGGGCGGAAATCACTTACTGGTGGTCCAAGGGGGCCAGGGTCTCCAACTTCTCCTGATATTCCAGGATGACCCTGGAACATCAAAGCAAAGTCCATGAAAAGGATCTCCGTTCTTACTGCAAATTCAACCCAAATAACATCTTCGCCCAGATAACGGGGAACAGATTATCACTGTGAATTCTGTAAGCGGAAGCACTAAACTCAGTTTCCAAAGGATCCCGAACTTGCAATGGCATAAAACCCAGGGAAATTTAAAGTTCCCCTTTGAGCTGCAGTGTTTTTAAAAGAACCTTGAAGACATTAAAGGTTCCTAATTTATTACATGGTTAATTCATCCCAGTCCAGTTTCTCTAGGGTGGATGGCAAAGGGGAAAGGGGGGGGGGGAAGCAAACTTTGGCCTAGATCTCTCTAAAGTGCTAATCTGGGTGATGTAACCTTCAAGTTATGGTTATGGGTGATGTAACCTTCAAGTTGGATTGTGTTTTCGGATTGTGCCCTGGGGTCTTTCCTTGTTTTTCTATGGAGGAGCCCCCCACATTTCTGACCCCTGTCACAGAAACCCAGGCGTGTAGGAGGTGGTCATTCATGGTTAATGACCTTAAAATGGCCCGTAGAGAAACTTCAAAGGTGGCCTAATCAAAGAGAACAGACTGTTTTCTCAGGGCTGGGAAGCTGCTATGATTGGGAAGGCAACCATTACTGAGTAGGCGCTTAATCCTGCTTGGAGGACATGAGCGTGAAGTTATGGTAATTTGACTTTAGGTCAAGCTCCCTGATGGACCACAAAGAAAAAGGGCAAGGAGGAGGAGGAGGGGGAGGACGAGGAGTAGGAGGAAGAAGTCATGAAAAAAGAGAAGGAGGAGATGTAAAAAGAGAAGATGGAGGAGGAGGAGGAGGAGGAGGAGAAGAAGAAGAAGAAGAAGAAGAAGAAGAAGAAGAAGAAGAAGAAGAAGAAGAAGAAGAAGAAGAAGAGGAGGAGGAGGAGGAGGAGGAGGAGGAGGAGGAGGAGGAGGAGGAGAAGAAGAAGAGAAGGAGAAGAAGGAGGAGGAAGAAGAAGAAAGAGGAAGGAGAAGGGGAGAAGAAGAAGAAGAAGAAGAAGAAGAAGAAGAAGAAGAAGAAGAAGAAGAAGAAGAAGAAGAAGAAGAAGAAGAAGAAGAAGAAAGAATGAGGAGGAGGAGGAGGAGGAGGAGCTGCCACTGTGTAGAATATGTAGCCAACACCATCTAAATCGTAGTGAGAACACAAGGTGCCAGTTCTCAAGGAAGAGGAGGAGTGAGAGAATGCAGACTTACTCCTTACCATCGATCCCTTGACGCCTATCGGCCCTGGTGATCCAACTGTGCCCCGATCTCCCTAGGAAGAAGAGAAGCAGAGGTCAACCTTTCCATTCACAAAACACGGCCACCTCCTTGCAGAGAAGTCACCAGCTTGGGTGACCCACCAGCCCTCAGCGCTGCTCGCTTGAAGCCAACTTGGCCAACGGCAACTTCTCAAGCTCGCTGATGACCGGGGCGAAAGGACAAAAACAGTGGAGGTAAATCGTGAAACAAGGGTGCAAACATTTGGACTGAAATCGCGGAGGAACGCTTGAGCCTGCCAGCATGGCACCCTTTGGTAACTCCTAAAGCAATCAGATCTTGTCCGAGGATCTAGGGGGTGGCCACAGAAGCCCGGGAAAGATTGCAAGCAAGGGATATTGAAGTTCTGAAGGAAAACTGGCCATCAACATTCGCAAGGAACCACTTTGGGACTTTCTGCCGATGATAGTCCTCCCCCCCCCAAAAAAACCTTGAGGGCTCTTAGTAGAAGGCCTCCTCAGGTCAATTCTGCTTCTACAAGCATCCCAGCATCCTTCATACCTTCTCCCCAACGCCGCCAGGCTCCCCGATTGGACCGATGAACCCCATCAGACCCTGGAAAGAGAGAGAGAAAGGACTGAGATTTATTAAAGCATTGGAGAAAGAGAAAAGAGTTTTCCTTGCTGGCTGAATTAGGCAGCATCTTCTGCAAACTCTTCCTGCCTCAAAGGCTGGACCCCCCCCCAGCACAAACAGCAGCTGTTCTCCGTTTCAAATCCAGCTGTGGGGCCTCTGAACGCTTGACAAAGAGCTCCAAGTGCAGGAACAAATTACAGGCGACCCTCGTGATGTGAAGGTCAGAGAGAGCGCTAACATTTAGGATTTTCCTCCATGGACCATTTCCTCTTGGGGCCTCCCAGCTAGCAAAATGCAGGGGTGGGGGGGGGGAGAAGAGAAAGAGACAAACACGCACAACTGGATGAGTTCTGACACACTCTTGAGGCAGAAAAAAACCGTGTCTGATTGAGGCCCGTGAAGACCAGAGCCTTGTGTGATGATCAGGTCAAGAAGAAGATCAATGCTGGAAATCCTGTTTCAGTTCAAGGTCCGGTCATTCAGCCCAGCCAGTGATAAACATCTCAAAAATGTTTAGCAGCAGCTTAGAGGCATTGGAGCAAGGATGCCATACAAGCAAGACTGTGGTAGACACAAGTCAGGATTTTCAATGCCAATTTATAAGAAAAAAATCTACCTACCTACCTGCCTACCTATCTTTTTATAACCCATCCATCCATCCATTTTATCCATCCATATCAATCTATCTATCTATCTATCTATCTATCTATCTATCTATCTATCTATCTATCTATCTACCTATATCTATCATCTAATTACCTACCTACCTATCTACCTATCAATCATCTAATCTATCTACCTACCTATCATGTAATCTATCAACCTATCGACCTACCCATCTATCCAATCTACCTACCTACCTACCTACCTATCTATCTATCATCCATTCTATCTATATCTATCATCTAATTGTCTATCACTGAGGCCCCCAACCTTTTGGGCACCACGGACTGTTTCCATGGAGAAAAGTTTTTCCACGGACCGAAGAGTGCATGGTTTTGTGTGCTGCCTCCATCCCAAGGATGGGGATTTGCTTCATATGGATCAGTTGCTGACATGCTGCAGCCCGGTACCGGTCCATGGACTGGGGGTTGGGGACCCCTGGTCTATCACATCTATCTATCCTCATGTATCTACCTATCTATCCATCATCTATCTATCGCTATCCATTCTATCTCTGTCCGTCTATCTATCTCTGTCCGTCTGTCTGTCTGTCTATCTATCTATCAAATCTCTCTATCTTTATCTCCATGGTCTGTCTGTCTGTCTGTCTATCTGTCTATCTATCTATCTTTATCTCCATGTCTGTCCGTCTGTCTATCTATCTATCTATCTATCTATCTATCTATCTATCTATCTATCTATTTACCTACCTACCTACCTATCTATCATCTATCTATCTTTATCCATCTATCTATCTCTGTCCATCTATCTATCTCTGTCCGCCTGTCTGTCTGTCTGTCTGTCTATCTATCATCCAATCTGTCTACTTATTCATCTGCCTTCCTACCTACTCATCTACCAAGAAACCCTCATATTTTGGGGTTTGGACAACTCATTATGCTCTTCCTTAGAATAGCAGAAAAGGGTGATCTTGACTGATGAACCTCTATAAAATGAGTATCTTGTTGATGTCAATGGATCAAGGCCATCTGACGTTTTCAGACCATGGAACCTGGTAGCTTAATAGCAAGAAAATTCTGGAATCCCCAATGTAGGGGCAAAGATCTAGTGATAGAAAACGTGTGGGGTTTGAATCCCAACTCTGGAATGCTTCTCATGGAACGCCTCTGCAGGACATAGTCTGAAAGACCCAGAACTGGAACACCACTTTCCCTAAATATTTGGAAATTGCCTCTCGATTGCTGATGTTTTCCAAATCTCCAGGATGGCTAAAACGCTGCTGCGATGGAGGGAGGAATGGGGCGGAAGAAGAGGAGACGAGGAAGGAATTTTCCCCGATGGCTGGCACAGTTTTCCTTCGCTAATGACATAATTGGCAAGAAGATGGAACTCTTCCACAGCAACACTGCTAGGCAGAGGAAAAATGAGAGCGCTTCAGATTCATCTGGACCAGGTCACCGGCAAATGGTGGTGAAAGGACCCATTGTATTTTTCTCTCAACCCCGCAGGGACGCATGGTTTCCTGCCCGGAGTATGTCTGGAGTAGCTAAGGGGGGAAAAGAAACAACCCGTGACAAACCAGGTCCCCTCGTCAGCTCGCCTTCTCAACCTGGATCCAACGGAGTGGAATTCAGCCCCCGGGTTGTTTAGCTACGGCGAATCCAAATAGTGGAATTCGTCTAATGAATAAGTGTTAAAGAAAGACAGACCTTCCTGCTTTCTCTGCAGGAACTGGGGGGCTGGGGGGGGGCTCTCTGGTGGAGGGAGAAAAAGCTTCTCAATTTTCCTAAGGAAATGTGTGGGATTTTCCTGATTGTCTCCTTGCCTCAAGGAAAAGGAGGATTCGTGCAGGATTTTCTCCAGATGTTTGTGCAAGGCCTAGAGAAAGACCGTTTCAAGTTCTTGTGGACATTATGGGGGAAAGCAAAATGGCAAGCAGGACATCAAAAACGCTGTGGCTTCTAACCGTCACAGGGGCCCGCATCCAAAAATGAGTGGTTGTTTTTTTTTAAAGAAAAGTTTGAGCCATTTCAAAGCTCTTGATGGGCACATGCTGCCTCGGTAAATAACCTGGAGAGAGAAAAAAATATGCGCTGAAATGTCCTCTTGATGTTTCTGCCCACGAGGGGGGGGGGGTTTGAGGGTCCCTGTGCACACCTGGCTCTAGATTAGACCATCGTCAGAAAAATGAGCAGCGCGTAAAAGAGTTAACGATTGCCAAGGAGAGAGGTTTTCAGGAAAGATTGTGGGTCTCTTAGCCAACAATTGAGGAGACCGAGATTGGTCTAGCCAAAGCCACCATTGCTGCCCCATGTGGTCACTCAGGAATGAGATAAACATATGGAACCTTTGAGGTTCCACCACATTGGCTCCTTTGAAGATTGGAGATATATTTCAAAGGAGGTGAGTGAGTTGAGTCTTCCTTATTCCCAAACCTTCCCGAGTTCTTCCTGTCGAATCTCATCGGGCAATCGCACGGCCAGCAGTGGTCAAAGTTATCTCAGACCAAGGAAGTCCGAGACGCTGGCCGGTGTCCCTAGGGTCAAAGGTCACCATGCAAAAAGGAGAGAAGTGATTGGGGGTTGGGGTTACCTCGTCACCAATTTTTCCCAGTCGTCCTCGGTTTCCTGGTTCACCCTGCAACAAAGCAGAGAACAGCCCTCATTGCCAGGCACGCAATCCTTGCGGTTTTGCAAGGTGCGTCTCAACTCCTTAATCTGCCCTCAAAAAAAAACAACCCATTCTACAGGTAGCAAAACTTTGAGACTGTGAAACCTTAAACTTCTAATTGGTCCCGCTTTGTTTCAAATCCCCGAGACTTTCCCCAAGATGTTCTCATCATACAGTAAAAGTGGACAACCAAGAGACTCTTGATATTTTGACTACAAAGCCCATCAGAAGAAAGTTCCCTGGAATTTTATGGGAGCTGTGGTTCAACACCTCCGCTGGGGAACCGATTTCCTTCATCGCCCCCTCGTTCATTTCTCTTCTTTTTCTTTCTTGTTTTCTCTAACAGGGTCTTCTTTAAATGTTGGATCTACACCTCCCAGCAGATCCAGTTAGGGGAGGCCATTATATGGATGATGGGAGATGTAGTACAAGACATCTGGAGAGGACCGGATTGGGGAAAGCTCTAAGTTT